TGTTGATGTCCTAATTTCCCCCGGGAGTGAGTTCCACAGGTGAGGGGCCACCACTGAGAAGGCCCTGCTCCTCGTCCCCACCAGCCTCACTTGTGATAGCGGTGGGGTCGAGAGCAGGGCCTCCCCAGATGATCTCAAATTCCGGGATGGGACGTATGGCTGATGTGAACTCAAAAAACGACATTGTCTGAAGGATTAATATAATTATTAATCATATGTATCCCACCTCAGAAATGAATTGATATCCAGTGGAACTGTGTCTATAAGGGAAGTTGTGTATTCCCTGTTGCTGGTCTCAGTTAACAATGTGTCAGCACCTCTTTGAACCAACTGAGGCTTCTGAGCACTTTTTAAAGGCATCTCCATGTATAGCATGTTATTGTAGTCTGAATAAGATGTAACTAACCACCATATGTATTATTGTAGCCCGATCAGACATTTCCAGGAATGGGCACAGTTGACTCATTGGCGTTAAATGAGCAAACACACCCTTGGCTACTGCCAAAATCTAGGCTTCCAGGCTCAGGTTCGAATCCAGAAAAACCGTGAACCTTCATCTTCCGGAGAAGTGTCAATCCCATCTAGCATGGGTGGAATCCTTTTTCCCAGATCTGCCTTTTGACTGACCAGAAGCACATCTAGCTTAAGGTTCACTGTGTTTGCCCATCCCATCCATTACAGACTAGTCAAAACTTTAGAATAGAAGCAAGTCCCTTATTATTAGATGGAATTAGAGTATCATGAGCATATTGCTGATACCTGACCCCAAACTTCAGACAACCTTTCCCAGTGATTTCATGAACACATTAAATAGCTGAGGGGGCAAAACAGATCCCTTAGGGATTCCACAGGCCAGTGTCCAAGGAATCAGTCAGGAATCCTGCAGGTGAAGAAACATCATGAGACAGCCTATATTCAATATGACTGAGCACGGATAACTTCAAGGGAGTGACATATTTGACTTTTGATATATTAATGGACTACTACTTCCATTATGCTTTACCCTAACCAGGATGCCTAGGATGAATGAGAACTAGAGGTAGCAACATAAAACCTGCACACTTGGGTAACACAAAGTCCACAATATTGTTTTGGTATACCATATCATATTCAAAGGATTAAGGGGATTTGCCTGCTGAATCCCGAAAACCAGTCCTGGCGGAGGGCAGCTGAAGCCTTAGCCAACACGAATCACAGCAGCCAGATCTTTTTGGCTAATGGGACTGAGCAGCACTGTACCTAGGCGGAGGTGCCATGTGGAAATCCTCACAAATCAGGCAAGAGCGGGCGCCTGGCAGCTGTGGCTCCTCCTCCTCTTTCTTCTCCGGCAGCTTCCTCCATTCCTTCCTGAATGGCCCCACCACCCCACTGTGCTTGCATAAGGAAAATGGGAACTTGTTTTCCCAGCAGCACTTTGTGCTGTGTGGGCATTGAAGGAGCCTCTGTGCTTCTTCCCGGGGCATGACAGAAGTTGAAGTTTTCACTGTGTGTTTCTCACTTTCTTTCTCAGCCAATCAGAGGCCTGGTTGACTGTGTCCATATTCCTCCCTTCTTGTGGGGTGTGCTTGGGCTTCAATAACCAGAACCCCCTCATATGTTTTTTTAATGTTATGGGAATTTTTTTAATTCCCAAAAGTCAATGGTTTGGTGAAACATTTTGAAACTTGGAATGCTTGCAGTCATAAATGTGACCTACAAGTGAGTTGTGTTTAATGCTGATAGGTCTAAAAATGATGGAGAAATGAGCCTCTAAAGTTTCCCCACTGGCGGCAATGGTCCAAATCTTACTGGCACAAAAATAGAACCCCTTTCCCAATTTCAGGAACATCCTGGTAAAGAGAACAGGGGGGCAGCTGAAAATGTGACCGAAAATGGCAAGGTGTTTTCCTGAATCATATAGCCCTAATACAAAGAGATGTCTTCCATTGTGATAATCCAGTTTGCTAGTCTAAGGCACCTTTCCTATGATACGCCATATGCTTCCTCAGTTCATCTGCCACATGCCACACCTTCATAACTAACATCTAGTTATTCCTCTGTGTATTCATAAACAGCAATTACCTACAGTGAGACATTCAGGATGTTGTTACAGGAGGCTGATATCAAAATATTCTTTGTTCTCATAATATGGAAGATGATCACAGTTCTTTTGCCAGTGTTGGCAAGGAGCTATTTGGCAAGGAATATTTCTGCATGCCCTAAACCTCCACATTATAATTATTCAATCAGACTTTCTCCTTGGTACTCGCCTCCTAAGATGGCAAAAGAGGGTTTTCCTCTGATGGTTTCTAGAGAGCAGAATGATTTCTATTTGGAAAGAAAGACCAGGTCAGTCCTCAACGTTCGTAGGATGAGAAAGAGACGTACACAGATGAATCTAAATACATTTGTTCACTTAGCAGTTAATAACTAAGGCGTTAAATATTATTGGCAGGAATCAATGATTCCCTTTATTCTTCTCACACGTTTTTACAGATTAAAATTGAACCTGAGATATTGTAGAGTATCCAAGCATGTTGTTAACTTCCATCAAGTCGACTTTAACTTATGGCAAACCCATGGATAAAAGTTCTCAAAGCTATCCCATTATCAACAGTCCTTCTCCTATGTTTCTTAAACTTGGGGTCTGCTTGAAGTCTTCTTATTTCTCTTAAATCTTTGGGGAGGAGGGGATGCCGTGGCTCGATAACATGGGGACAATGGGATTGGCCACTTTATAGGTTTGGAGGTTGCCAGGTTGGAAAAGGCTGAGTTGTTATCTCCACTGTAATAGGACTGGCCTCTCAACGGATTTGTGCCTTATGGTTTCCTGTTCTCTCTCTCCTTTTTTGGAACCCTTTAGCAAAGGAGCTGAAGAGCATTTTGGGTTCAGCTCTTCTCTTTGCACATTTGACATGAAGCTATCATGAAACATTCATTCTGTTCTGTTCAGCTGCATTCCTCATCTGAAGGGAATGAGGCCTCTGCATATTTCATTTTCCTCCCATTAAAATCTCATGAAAGAGTGATCTCTTGCTCACCATTCTTTAATTAGTAGCTTTTATCCACTTCCATTTGGTTTGTTCCAATTCACCCAGAATCATCTATATATGTACATGAGTTATATGCTAGAATGAACATACTTGTTGCATCCTCTCTGTGTGCTCTTGATCAGGAATGCTTCTGTCTGAGTAAACATGCAGAGCACCAGGCTGCATATGTCCTAACAGTGCAAACTTAAAATTAGTTAAAATCAAAGGAAGATAGGTAGGTAAAACTGAGATGAGAACAATCTAATTGTTTGGAGCCATTTGTTTGTAACAGATGCCAGATGATCGTTCTTTTTAAGTGGCTTTTGCTGCTGTGCTTCAATGGCAGCTGGATCTGTAGAGGGGATGGGTAATGTGTGACCCTTTGTTGGATTGCATTGCAACTCACATGTACCCCAGCCAGAATTGCTAACAGGGAAGGAACATGGGGACTGCAATACATGATACACTCTATTTTTACGTTTTATAAGTTACTAGCTGTACCCGCCATGTGTTGCTGTGGCCAGCCTTCCCTCCCTCTTTCTCTCCTTCTTTCTTTCTCTCCTTCCTTTCTTTTTTTCTTTCCTTCTCTCCTTCCATACTTCTCTTCCTCTTCCCTTCCTTCCCCCCTTTTCTTTCCCTCCCTCTTTCTCCCCATTCTTCCTTTTCTACCTATTCTTGGACTGCAACTCCCAGCAGTCCTCCTGATCTATCTATCTATCTACCTACCTACGTACCTCTCTATCTCTATCTGTATCTGTATCTAAGATTGCTGGGAGTTGCTGTCCAGGAATAGGAAATTGGAAATATGCAGGGATTTGGATGCTCTCAAAGAAACCAAAGAAGAAGAAAGCTTGCATCTTGGGAGCAGTGCATTTGGATCACCCTCCTCTTCTAAAGGGCCTGGTCTAGGGGATACTGGGAGCTGTAGTCTGGAAGAGAGTGTTGATATGCTATTGTGTGTTTTGTTTGCCGGGGGGGTCGTTTTTGTGCATGCGCTGTGGTGTCTTTTTGCTTTTTGGCCCTTTAAGTCTCTGCCGCTGTGTTTTTCAGTGCTTCTATGAGTGATGGCCACTCATTGGCCTGATAGGTATATTGTGTCCAAATTTGGTATCAATTTGTCCAGTGATTTTTGAGTTATATTAATCCCACAAACTAACATTACATTTTATTTATATAGATATTTTAAAGCTGTTTTTAAATTGCTTTAGAAGTTTTCAGACAGCGTTTGAAACTTACAACCCTGTATCTATTCCCAGTGCAAATGTTTTATTCTCTTCAACACCAGCTTTAATGTCTTAGACAAAGTTGAAGTGAAAGCCATACATGCAGTGACGAAGTGATATGCACCTAGCTCCAAATTACCTGTAAGCACATGTCCTGTTAAGGGAAACTCTTCTTTGAAATATGTTTAGAGCAGCTAGACTCCTTGTTTTTAAACACTCTGAATCTCACAGCTTAGTCACTTAAAAAGACTTGGCATTCAGTCTTCACACGATTCTATTTCTGACTTTTAGCAGAAACAAAAGAACCAGCAAGAAGCAGTTTGAGAGTCCCGCTCTATGTTTATGTTCTGTTGCTTCAAGGTCATTTAATCATCAGAAGGACAGAAATCCAGAAACACAAATACAGGGCACCTATGTCCCCATACTCACTCTTTTCTCTATTTTCTAGTACACATGGGACTCGTTTTCTTGTGACGTTGTAAGAAAATAAAGTTTACCCTTGGAAAAACAAATGAACCTTTTTAATGGCCTTGTTGATATTTTGATCAGTATCTTGTTTATTTACATCCTGCTTGTCAGAGAGGTTCATGGCCAGCATGGATGAGTGGATTGGTGGGGAGAATTTTTTTACTACTGTTTACACCAAATAAGTTACCTCTTTCAGGGAGGTACTCATTGTAAAAAAGGTGGCCTTCTCTTCACTTCAGCCCAATAAATTAGGAACAGAGGCAGAACTTGAGCCAGGCCATTCTAGCAAGAACGAGTGATGCTTCAGATTGGACCGAGTTATACCAGCCCAGTTGGGGGCCCCATGGCTGGTTTCTCTTTGGAGAAAGCAGCAGCAAGAAACAGAACAAATGCCATCATGGATGAGGTACAGGAAAGCCATGTGGAAAACTCCAAAGGTAAGGTGACTACTCACAAAGGCAATTTAAATCCAGATCACAAAAGAACACATGAGATCACTCTCAAGGCCTTTGTAATTGTTTTTTTAGGGTAGGAGATCCTCAGTACTGGCAGGTAGGTTAGTATTAGTGTTGCCTGTGTGTGTGTGTGTGTGTGTACATGCACGTGTCTTCAAGTGGCATGTCAACTGATGGTGACCCTTGAATTTCACAGTGAGATTTTCACTCAGAGATTATTTTGCCTGTTCCTTCCTCTGAAATATAGCCTGCAGCAGTTGGATTGGTGGTCCCCCATCCAAATACTAAACAGAGGTGTCCCTGCTGAAGCTTCCAAGATTAGGCAGGCCCTGGTGCCTTAGTTTAGAATATTTAGGCTACTTGCAGGGAATTGCAGGGGGATTCCATCCATTATCACTGAATTGAACTTAGATTTGTACTAGATTTATCCTTTTTGTGCCATTTAAAGCACTGCTTCTTAAACTGTGGGTCCCAAACTCAGATGGGGTCCCCTAAGCTTAATGACAAAATTTTTGGCAAGCTTTCTGAACACTACCCATTTACACAATCATGCAATGTTTACAGTGGACTCTGTGGAAAATGCTTCAGCTGTACTCAACAAAAAGGAAAATCAGCCTGCTTAGCAAGCTTTGCAAATGCTGATTTATTATTAGTACATGTTTGATTGTTATGCCTATGTTATATTCTTATGTACCCAGGGTCACTTAAGCTTTTCTTAGTTGGAAAGTAGTCAGAAAGATCTGATTTCAAGAAATTGTCTACCTCCTCTCATTCACAAGAATACACGGTAACTCTAAAAGCCACAACTATTTGCCATACTATACATTTTCCGCCAGGTGGAGCTACCTTTTCATTGTAAATGAAGCTGCTAGACCACCGATGAGCAAATTTTAACTGCTATTTTTTTTAAAAAGTGCGTAATGCGTAGCCCTACCCAGCTGCTTTTGATTTTCAGTTGCATTAATTTAGTAAAAAAAGAAAAAACAAAACCCACATGCTGCTGACATGGAGGACATACAACTTTGTACTGCCGTAGGCTTTCATGGCAGGAATCACTGGGTTGTTGTGTGTATGGCCATGTTCTAGAAGCATTCTCTCCTGACGTTTTGCCTGCATCTATGGCAAGCATCCTCAGAGGTTGAAAACTAGGCAAGTGGGGTTTATATATCTGTAGAATGTCCAGGGTGGGAGAAAGAACTCTTGTCTGTTTGTCTGTTTGAGGTAGGTGTGAATGTAGCAATTGTCCACATTTATTAGCATTTAATGGCCTAGCAGTTTTCAAGGTCTGGCTTCTTACTGCTGGGGTAATCCTTTGTTGGGAGGTGATTAGTTGGCCCTTTCCCCTTCCCTCCTCCCATGTTGCTTCTTGCAATCAGAAAATCTTCAAAGACCTCGTTGTTTGTGAAGCCTATTCGCAATTCAGAATTTACTCTGCAAAGTTCACACATAGTTGATTTGCAGAGAAAACAGTTTTCTTCATAGATACTTGTATTTTGTGAACTTTGAACAAAATAAGTCCCATGTTGTAAAGATTCTAGTCAATCTAGAAACCTGGATTTTGTGACACTTGGAAAACATATTCTACAATCTTAAAAATATTATCATAGAATCATAGAATAATAGACTTGGAAGAGACCACATGAGCCATCTAGTCCAACCCCCTGCTATGCAGGAAAAGCACAAAGTACCCCTGACAGATGGCCATTCAACCTCTGTTTAGACGTTTCCAAGGAAGGAGCTTCCACCACACTCCGATGCAGAGAGTTAATATGCTTTTAAGACTCCCCCCCCCCATCACTTTCCCTTTTAAAGTTCAGTTTACCTCTGTAGAAGGAGATAGAGGGAACATTTATATCATAGCTGTATCTCAACACACTTTCTCATCCATGTTTTATCCACTCTGTGTCCCTAAGAATTTCCACATTTTTTACCTTGTGGCAGACAAGATTTGGTGTACTTCTTTCCTTTTCCAAGCACTGGTATTTTTTCCCTTTCCCCTTCTCCCTTACAGTTTACTAATTGTCATTATCTTTCTTCATAACAGTTTGCCGATTTCCACATTCTTGTGTTCTTTGCCTCTCTGAGGCCCCTTCCACTCAGTCCTTATATCCCAGGAACTGATTCCAGGTGAACTGTATTATATGAGTACCTCCTGCCACAAAATCTGAGATAAACATAATCTGGGATCAGATCCTGAGATATAAGGGCAGTGTGGAAGGGGCCTTTGTGATGAAAAGTTATGGGGCAGCACTAGGAAGGCTAGTTTTCTTTACATGAGTGGGAGAAATAACAGATCGACACATGCTTGCTGTTGTAGGTTTGGAGTTGATGGTCCAAATTGGTTCTCCCAGAATCCTTCACAGGAGTCCACAAGTTAAACTGTTCAAACACATAGCATTCTATTAACACTTCTCATCCAACAGAACATAGCAGTGTTATACTATTAATTTATACTGCAGAGATACTACAGAATTAGAAATGTCAGAATGCAACTATGGATGCCAGCTGCATTAGCACAGTGCTGGAAATAAAGAATAGGAACAATTAAATGCACAAACTATCTGGAAGATTCATGGTGTCTTATAACATTTGTTGTATTTACAAACTGACAAACTTAAAACAAACAGCAAGCCTATATTAACTTCTTAAAAGTGGTCTCTAAACCCCAGGCTACTTTGTCTTTCATCAATGTATCCTTTACATTACCTGTTCCCCTTCCCCAATCCGTAGCTATGCTTTTCTCATTAGGTGGATTATATCACTTTTCAAAATTTTGATGGATGTTTTGCACTATAGAAAAAGATTTCTTGATATAGAAGATTGTTAACATAAGCTAATACTTCTGGCATAATAGTTCTCGTTACATCCAGGATAGACTACTGCAATGTACTCTACGTGGGGTTGCCTTTGAAGACTGTTTGGAAGCTTCAAATAGTCCAATGAGAGGCAGCCTGGCTAATAACAGGGAGCACACAATTCCCATGTTATGTCAGCTCCACTGGCTGCCTGTTTGCTACCTTGCACAATTCAAAGTGCTGGCTTTGGCCTATAAAGCCCTAAGTGCCCCTGGCCCAGTTTGCCTGATGCGTTCAATCTCCCTTTACAAATCACTGCAAAGACTAAAACCTTCTGGGGAGGCCCTGCTCTCTGTCCTGCCAGTGTCACAGGCATGTTTGGCAGGGACAAGAGACAGGGCCTTCTCAGTGACTGCCCCCTGGCTATGGAATTCCCTTCCTGGCAATATTAGGTCAGCTCCCTCCCTCCTATCCTTCAGAAGGATGATGAAGACCTGGCTGTGGGACCAAGCCTTTGGGGAAGTGCAATGAGGCAATAATAGGAAACGTACTCTGCTGACTGGACCCAGCATGGTGTCCTGAGATGGTTTTAAATAGCCGATTTTAAAGTGGATATAAGTAATTTTAATGTTTATGTATATTTATAGTTTTATGTCCCGACATTGAGTGTTTGCCATATATATGTTGTGCTCTGCCTGAGTCCCCTGCGGGGTGAGAAGGGCAAAATATAAATGTTACAAATAAACAAATAAATAGTTGTTACAAGGTTTTGAGAAAAGGCAGAGGACAGAAATATAACAATGGGATGGCACAATGAGAATATTGTCCCCCATGACCTTTTTCTTCAGTCCCCAGGTTTCTAGTCCTTTAGTAACTTAAAATTTTGCTTGAGTGTGTAGATATGTAGTTTAGCCATCCAAAGAAAGGGAGCAGACGAAGATACTAAAGGAATGCAAACTAAGCAAACATAAGTGGTTTAGATGTGCATGATTTTCCTTATCTCATTCTTTGCAAAAGTACAAATTTGGGGACTGGAGGAAATTTAATTTGAGAGAAGGCAAAATTCTTATTTTGATCCCCTACACCATGTGGGTATAAATGAAGAAGAATGAGGAGGAAAAGAAAAGGTTAAAAACTCCAGCAGAAAAAAACAAACACTCAAACAAAAACTCACAAACTATTATTAGGCATCAACATCAAGTAAATTGTAACTACCTCATAAACCCTAAACCACACAACAGCTTCCAGGCAGGTTTTACATTTAACTGTCATAAGCTACAACAAGAGTCTTTATTTTCTGTGTCAGAGCACTGACACCAGTAGTATCTCTTTTGTGTAATACCATATAACAATACTATAATGTTGACAGTAGCTGAATATAAATTGTACTAAGGGTATATCTCCAGAGACTCTGTCCCGAAAAGGGGATGAATCAGCTCTGTGTGGGCTGTCTGGTGCCTGCTAACACAGTCTTGAACCATGTTAACCATGCTCCAAATTTTCTCCAAGAATCCAGATCAAACCCAACTTTTGGTCCATGCAAACAGTTAGGATGGTTTAATATGGAATTGGCCACAATTGTTTACATGGCCATTTCATATTCCCTGGCTTGGGAGCCCAGGAACATGGGTTGGTACTTACCATCCCTCTCCTTTTCTTGTTGCAGCAGAGACCTCCAAGCCCAACACTTAGGGTGACGTTGGCCAGGATGCGAGAGTGATCAGAGAAAGGAAGGGGAAAGGAGAGGGCAATCTTCCTTTCCCCCTTCTCGCCTCCCATGTTGCTCTGGCACTCCATCCGACATTATTCCAGGTGACAAGTGATAGCCACTAGCCATTTTGTGCTTGCAGACAATAGAGTTGGTTGTCCAGCAGCCTAGCGCTGTCAGATAGCCAGGACTCCTCCTCTTCTCAGGGGCTGGTGGTAAAAACTGCCCTGAGGCTGATCCAAATTCCACCCTGGGATAATGTCCATGTAAAACCTCCCTAAACATCGCTACAATTTAACATGCAGTAGTTATGCAGGGTCACGGTTGTGCAATGGGTTAAACCACTGAGCTCCTGAAATTGCTGACCAAAATGTCAGCAGTTTGAATCCACGGAGCAGGGTGAGCTTCTAGTGTTAGCCCCTGCTTCTGCTAACCTAGCAGTTCAAAAACATACAAATGCAGGCAGATCAATAGGCTCTGACAGGAAGGTAACGGCACCCCATGCAGTCATGCTGGCCACATGACCTAGGAGGCGTCTACAGACAACGCTGGCTCTTCAGTCTGAGATGAGCACCACCCCCAGGGTCTGACTCAACTAGACTTAATGTCCAGGGAGAAGCTATAACTTTACCGTAGTTTAGCATATGACATGGCAAAGCCACCAGTGTCATGACAAAGCAACCAGTGGTAAAGCTGGCATTGGGCGTCTGGAAAGTTAAAAATGAGAAAAGTTGGATGACTTAGGCCCCATCCACACTGTCATATAAAATCCAGATTATCTGCTTTGAACTAGATTATATGGCAGCATAGACTCATATAATCCAGTTCGAAGCAGATAATGTGGATTATTTGATTTGATAATCTGGATTATATGGCAGTGTAGAAGAGGCCCTAGTGTCCTTTGCAAAACAAGTGTCAGTTATGTTCCTTCAAATTTCTGATGAGAAGTCAGAATGAAGCAGTTATCTTTGTCCACAACTCAACTGTTTCTTGACCCTTATGTCCTTTCTCTTTGCCTTTTTCTGAATAAGCTCAGCATTTTTAAAAGCAGCCTGGTCGCTTCACTGGTGAACCCTGATCCCCTTTGGTCCCCTTAATGCTGATCATCCTGAACCATACACATTATGTACTTGACTAGGGTTATGGTTGGCTTGCTTTTTCTATTACATCTCATACTTTTAAAGCCAGTTTTAGAAATCCTTTTCTGTTTTTAACACCTCATGCTGATCTGAGTTTCTAATGAGTAAATGTATTTTTATCAATCACATAAGATGTTCATGAATTTAAAATCTCTAGACCTGGCAATCTTTAAATGTGTTACCTTTCTTATGCAAAAGAGATACTATGAATTCAAATGAGACATGGAGCCATCCATAAATTGCAAGGGAAACCTTGCAAAGAGGTTGCAAGTGAATGTGTTTTATTGTTTTTAAATTTTAGTGAGTGTTGTTTGAGAATGTTAATCATGAGTTGTTGACTTAAAAAATGACATGATTTTTTTTAAAAAAACAATTTTCAGGCAAAATCAAGTTCCTTTTGAAAGGTAAGGTAAATAATACTGATTATATATAAAAAGGAGGAAGGGGGAGGTGAAGAAGACATGAAGCAACATCCTTAAGACAGATTTAGCATGAGCTTTTATTGTTCTAGACCAGTGTTTCTCAACCTGGGCACTGGGACCCTTGGGGGGGGGTGCGAGGGGGTTTCAGCGGGGTCGCCAAAGACCATCAGAAAACAGTATTTCCTATTGGTCATAGGGGTTCTGTCTGGGAAGTTTGGCCCAATTCTATCATGGGTGTGGTTCAGAATGCTCTTTGATTGTAGGTGAACTATAAATCCCAGCAACTACAACTTCCGAATGTCAAGTCTATTTTCCCCAAACTCCACCAGTGTTCACATTTGGGCATATTGAGTATTTGTGCCAAGTTTGGTCCAGATCCATCATTGTTTGATATAGGTGAACTACAACTCCAAAACTCACCCACCAAACCCTTCCAGTATTTTCTGTTAGTCATGGGAGTTCTCTGTGACAAGTTTGGTTTGATTCCATTGTTGGTGGAGTTCAGAATGCTCTTTGATTGTAGGTTAACTATAAATCCCAGCAACTACAACTCCCAAATGATTCCATTGTTGGTGGAGTTCAGAATGCTCTTTGATTGTAGGTTAACTATAAATCCCAGCAACTACAACCCCCCCCCCCAACTCCACCAGTATTCAAATGTGGGCATATCAGGTATTTGTGCCAAATTTGGTTGAGTGAATGAAAATGCATCCTGTATTTCAGACATTTACATTATGATTCATAACAGTAGCAAAATTACAATTATGAAGTAGCAACAAAAATAATGTTATGGTTGGGGGTCACCACAACATGAGTAATTGTATTAAGCGGTCATGGCGTTAGGAAGGTTGAGAGATACCTTCCTAATGCCATCTTCTTCGGATACTGTATAAAATAATATCTAGGGTATAAAGTATATTTACTAGGCTTGGTTGATCAGAAAAATGGTTCAAAACTCATTTAGGATTTAGAGGGCACTGGTGGTTCAATTTGGAAGTCATTTCCGATTCCTCCCCGCCCAAATTCGGAGCTTTCCAAAACTTCTGAAACTTCCAAATAGCTTCATTAATGGCACAATACGTGGAAAACAGCACTGGCACTGGGGAAACTCCAAGGCCTTCTCCCTCCCTCATTTTTACACCAATCCTGATGAAAATTGCTGTGGCCCAAGCAGGGTTTGATTTGATGGGAGATGTATTTCTTTTGTGGCAATATACAGCAAACAAACAAACAAACACAGAGCCCAGAGAGATCTGCAACCCACAGCAGTGTTGGTCTTGCGGCTTTTAAAAACTTTGCAAATGAGTGTTTGTGGTCCAAGCAGGGCTTGAATTGATGGGAGATGTAGTGTTTTTGTGGCATTTTACAACAAACAAAGAAACACAGAGCCCAGAGAGACCTGCAACCCACAGCAGTGGCCCTGGGGCTTTTAAAAATGTTTGAAAAGAAAGAGTGTTTGGAGTCCAAGCTGGGCTTGAAGGAATGAATGGAAGATAAATATTTTGGTGGCAAAATAATAGCACACACACACAAGTTCCGATATTTCTCTCCCCTGGCTCATGGCTCCAAACAAACAACAATACACCCTCGCTCTGCTCTTCCCTTCCTTTCCCTTCCCTTCCTCCGGGCTCCTTCCACCCATGCCATGCACCCACACACACCCCAAAACCCACGCGGCCCAGCCCACCCTAACCCCAACAACAACACACAAGAAGTGGCAAGGCAGGCAGGCAACAGCCCCTTTCAAAAAACTTTTTATTTTTCTCTGCCTGCCCTGCTATTCTTCTTCCACTCCAGGACCACACCAGCGCCAAGGCAACAGCTCCACGAGTCCCAACCTCCTCTCTCCCTTGCCCGGCTCACAATGAGCCTCCCAGCCACGAGCTTCCATTTATATAGAGCAATGGCTGCCAAAACTCCTCCCCTCCCCAAAACTTATCCCCTGATTGCAAGCAGCTAGATTGAAGAAAAAATGCTTCATCATTTCCGACTCACTTCCTGAGTCGGAAAAAAGGGCAAAGTGGTTCAAAACTGTAAGGGACTTCTGGCTTCATACAAAGAGTTGGAAGTCCCTTTGGAAAGGTAATTTTTCTGACTTCATAATGAGTTCTGCGATATATGAACAAACCTATCCATACCTAATATTTACACAGTTGTGGGGATGGAGAGGATTGTAAAGATCCAGAAAGACAGAAATAAATTATGCTTTTATGTTATAGAGACAGCCAGTCCATCTAAAGTCCCTGAGGTTAAGTCATGGAACAGTGGTGCTCCTTCCCACCAAGGCTGCAGCAAATTTGTGGACAACAACAAGATTCCCAAATGGAATGAGAATCCGGACTCTCGAGAACAATTCCAAGGCAAGTCTACAAAGGAGCTGAAGAAGCTAGCAAGGCAAGGATGCTGGGCTAGAAGTCATGCCCTAAGAGCAGAAGCTTACCACCACATTATCCAGGACCTACATTGTCGACTTATGACTCCTGATACCACAGTCTACAAGGACATTGCTAGCAAGCTTTTCGAAGATCAGAGTGAAAGTTTTGAACCCTTACCAGAATTCATGGAAGAAAGCATCATGCCAGAATACTGCCTGACCAAGGAAGGACTCCATATGGTGAAAAAGGTACTCATCTGCATTTCCAATCTGTACCCTGACATCTCCTATTGTCCCTTGCTTCCGGCTGTAACTGCCCTTGTGCTCCACTACAGCCAAGACGAGGCCCAGTGCTTTGAGAATACCTGCCGGCTCCTTGATTGCAAAGCCCCCCACACCTCCTACATAGACTACTCTTTCCTGAATTATGAGGCCTCATGCATGACCTTTGGAGACCTTGCCAACAAACACTGCCCAGCCGCCCACCGCCTGATAGCGAGCTCATCAGACAACATCTTTGAGGTATATTCCGAATGGCTGGTATGGCTCTTCAGTGACCTCCCATTTGATTATGTCATCCGTATTTTTGATGTATACCTTCTGGAGGGACAGAAAGTCCTCTACCGCATAGCTCTGGCCCTGCTAAAGCAATACCAGCTTTTTATGGCTTCAAAAGGAGCAGAAGTGGCCGACATCAAGGGGAGTCTACAGGCTTTCATGTGGGATATTCATGAGCATATGACTGCTGAAAAGCTGCTAGAGAAGGCATTTGGGATCCGGCTTTTCTCTCGCAAAGAAATCTGGCTCCTTCAGATGGCTAACAGGAAAGCACTTGTAGAAAAAGGAGTCACCATGGTGCAACATAGGTAATAAGAAACTGAAATTATAATTAGCATTTATTACTAGCATGTTGTTATTAAGAATAATTAACATTTAAGAAGTAACTTCATGGTAGCTCTTGAACATGATAATGGTTACAACTTTGATTTTCTTAACCCAGCTTTGAGTTTTGATGTTTCACTTCATTTTCAAGTCTTATCTGACTTTTTTTCTTTTTAACCTTAGATTGAGACAACCTAAGGCTAACAATTACTCTGAACTTGCTAAATTCTTGACTAAGGGCTCTTTCACACAGCCATATAACCCAGAATATCAAGGCAGATAATCCACAGCATCTGCTTTGAACTGGATTATCTGAGTCCACACTGCCATATAATCCAGTTCAATGTGGATTTTATACAGCTGTGTTGAAGGGCCCTGAGGAGTAAATGTTTTAGAGCCCATTCAGGCCACCTCACACAAAGTAAACAAATAATTTAATTGGCAGTAGCCACATGTGTAGGCACATACAAACACAATGCATGTACTCACTAAAAACATGCATCTGTTTAAGGACACAGCTGGGAGGTGCAGAGATATAGGTTTAATTGCGCCATACCTTTGTTAAGCATGCTCATTCTCAGCTTCCCTTTCCCCCCTGTGTACATGTCAACTTACAGCAACCCTATAAATTTAATAGGGTTATCTTTAGACAAAAAATACTTAGTAGTGGTTTTGCCAATTCCTTTCTCTGAAATATAGCCTACAGCATATGGTATTCACTGATAGTCCAAATTCTAAACAGTGTTGATGCTGTCTAGCTTCCAGCATGAAAAGTGTATTTAAAGTATTTAAGCCATCTTCCTCTCCTGCCACACTCTTGTCATACACAACATTTTTGCTTGCATGGTAGATTCCAATGGGTCATGTTGGAACCCTATGCAAAAGTATAAAAATAATGAATATGGCTCCCATGAATGTGATGATGTCACTTCAATTGAAAGTCCTAGCCTGGCATGAACATTGAAAAGATAGCATGAAGTAGAGATATACAGTATTTAGGTACTTAGGTCATCAATTTTTTTTCATGTCAGGAGCAACTAGAGAAACTGCATGCCACTTCTGGTGTGAGAGAATTGACTGTCTGCAAGGATGTTGCCCAAGGAATGCCTGGATGTTTGATGTTTTACCATCCTTGTGGGAGGCTTCTCTCATGTCCCCACATGGAGAGCTGGAGCTGACCTAGGGAGCTCAACCTGCTCTCCCCAGATTTGAACTGCTGACCTCTCGGTCAGCAGTCCTGCCAGCACAAGTGTTTAACTCATTGTGCCACAGGGGGCTACTTAAGTCATCATGCCAGATGAGGAAAAAAAACCCCTATAATAACAAACTTAAGGCTATCATTTATCATTATCAACTCCATACATTTTAGACGAGGAATACTCAGGGGTTTCGCTAATGCTTTCCTCTGAACATCACCTAGAGCACCTGGTATTCTATTGTGATGTCCCTTCCATATACTAGCTAGGTCTGGCCCTGCTTAACTTCCAATATCAAACAGGATCCAGTGCTTTTACGATACAATTAACATATATAGTAATGGTGAATATTGGTGAGTTGCTTTTTAACATGGATGAGGGGATTTTAGGAGTGCCCTATACTGTTTTCTGGCATAGTGCAAGAATGAGCACATCGTATTTCATTTTAGCCCAGGTTTAGTAGACTTTAACTTACAAGCTGTGGATGTTACCACAGCTGAGCTATAGACAGATGGAATCTACCTGCCCTTCAGGTTGCCCTTTTTTTTTAATAGGGCTTACACACGAGTGTACATGCACATATATCTCGTGAGTATATTTTTGCAGACAGAGCATTGTTACAGCTAGTACATTTTTCCAGTATATTCCCTAGAACACAAGCTCCTCTGTTCGTTGATTAAAATTATTCTCTGAAATCCAAATATATGGATGACTTGCATAAGTAACAGTTGAGTTCCAGGGATGTAGTCATAACAAGATGATGTGGCGCTGTTTCCAAACCCAGCAATGTTTGGAAATCTACTGTTTGTCTATCCTTGCATATTTCTTTGGCTATAAAAGTATCAAAACTTGATTGTTGCTGTGCTACCTGTATTGATTGTTGAGAAAGAAAGAAAGAAAGAATTGATATTTTTCTATTGGTGACGATCAACGGGGCTGTTTACAATAGAGGGCTGATTATTCTTCCTCCCTTCCCTTTGTTGTGTAGGCAATCATTCCACCTGATTGTGAATGCACATGATTTCACTTCCACCATTGTTACTGCTCAGGAAATGCGTATTGTGTGGTCCTGGATCCCTGAAAGGTTTTCCTTATTCTCACCGAACCTCTTATTCTCAACTTCTGAAGATGGATACAGCTTGCAAAGGTAAGGTGATGATACCTGCAAAATAATTCTCAGACCTATCAGGACCAGACCTGATTGGTACGATAACTGTGTCAGCCCACAACCAAACTGAACTAATGTACTGAAGAGAGACAATGTGTATTACTAAAGCTAGCCTACAAAGAGATATGTGAGTCATACAAAATACTCAGCTCTCTCTGGATCACAAGATCAATGTAGTGATGTGAGATGCTTGCAGAAGCACAGCAGACCGCATACAAATGAACACATAAGCAGACTGCTCTGCACAACCTGTGTAGTAGTTTTACAGCATGTCTCTGCATTCTTCAAAGGCAAATGTGTCAGATCCAGAAACAGATATAAGTCAGTAGTAGGGTCATTTAGATTGGTAATTGATAGGTTGAAGATAATAGGGAAGAAACTGCAAGTGTTTCAGTCTCGGGGATTATGGGGTGTTTTCGGACTTCTGTAACACCGAGAAAGGCAAAGGAAAATTTCTTCTGAATGAATCATGCCAAGAAAACCCACTGATACGTTCACCTTATCCTCATCATGTCAGAAAAAATGACAGTTTTTAAAGACGAAAGGCTTTGTAATGTAGAAGAGAATGGAAACAGTTCAGGGAATTATTTCTGCTTGGCGACAGTTGTGAGGCACAGAAATGTGATGGAATGACTCTTCAGTCCCATTTCATATTCCCTTGAAGTCTGACAGAATGTCCTGTGCTATGCAACATGTCTGAGGGACAGTTGCCAGGTTTCAGGATGGTAGCTGAAATCTTAGTGAATTATTATGTTTCAAGATTTGGAGACAAATTTTATAATGAGTAAAACTGGAAGAAGAGAATGTACGTGTGACATGACTTTTAACACGTAGGTACCTAATCTCAACCCATTTCCTCCTAGTACTAGGGCTCACTGGTTCAGCTAGATCAGTGGTTCGCAACCTGCGGGTTCCCAGGTATTTTGGCCTACAACTCTCAGCTGTTAGGATTTCTGGGAGACCAAAACATCTGGAGACCCACAGGTTGAGAACCACTGGGCTAGGAATTATTTATTTATTTATTTATTTATTTACTGTATTTACATACTGCTTTTCTCACACCTAGGGGGATTCAAGGCGGTTTACAACATATTAATGGCAAAAATTCAATGGCAACATACAGTAAAACAAAGAAATCGTAATCATTAATCATGATATATAACAATGACTTAAAATAATTAAAACCATTAAACGTAAGACATAAACAAAACTTAAACATTCAGACAAAGCATTAAAATCATCCTAGTATAAATCACCTGTGGGTTGTGTTTGTGCAACATCAGCACATGAAAAAACAAAAAAGGAGGAGGGTCATCTAGGAAAAAGAGCTGTGGATTTATGCAGTTTGGGTCATATTACCATTATGACCATGAACTGCCATATTACCTGCACATCTAGGAACTACCTGGATCCTTCATTTACACTAATTTCTAGACTGAGCTGGTCAAGAATATGCACCACCTATCATCTCAACTGTTACTTGATTTCACCATGTGATGTTGCAAATACCCGTCTTTTATTCTTGGGTTCTGGCCCTGAAATCCCATGGAATGGGATGCTGCTGCCCCGAGAATCCTAAATCGCAGAGTCAATGTCTTTTAAGAGATGTGCTTTCCATATCTCCCCTGACTCCAGTTGTGCATAATAGAATTGTTCCTTTCTTTCATACCAATATGACCTCTCCAAAGAAGGGATTTACAGATTTACAGAGAAAAACCCAATTAAACACAAAAGGCAAGGAGGCCATTGGATTTGAAGACCACACACTGAAAAATGGGGAGAACATCACGCCAACCACACCTCAGTAGTGGACCACGCCAACCATTAGGGGTGAAGGGGCAAGGTATAATTTGATGAACCAATATGTGCTGCTTTCTTGGGAATCCTCTTCCTCTTAGCTACATGGTACTCTGGAACAAATCTGAGTATGAACCTCAGCAACTCTGAAATGCTTTCTTTCACTAGAAAGCTTACAGATATGAATTGGATTCTTGTTTTGTGGATTGCATGCACCTATTGTATTGCTGCCATTACAGACAGGACTGTATCTGAAAAACTCTACCACAAACAGTGAAGAAGTGTGTGTGTGTGTGTGTGAGAGAGAGAAATATTAACTTTATTATGAACAGACTTGAAATAAAAGGCTTAAGTGTACAGAGGTGCATTGTTTAAATAAGCACTTTCTTATATATTACTGTAGTTCATAAATGGCAACCTACCTAACCCTAACCACTTCAGTCTGCCTTTGCCCTCTAACCAGAACCATAAAGTGCTAGCTCTCTTCTCTCTCTCTCCTGCCCTCTCTCTTCACACCCCACAACAACCACACTAAAATGATACCTCCTACTCCAAATGCTCCTTTCATTTGCCACTCCCCATTTGAAAATGCTGTCTTTCTAATTCTCAGGGCCCTTCCACACAGTCATATAACCTAGAATATCAAGGCAGAAAATCTCACTTTGAACCGAATATACGGCAGTGTGGACTCAGATAACCCAGTTCAAAGCAGATGTTGTCGGATTTTCTGCCTTGATATTCTGGGTTATATGGCTGTGTAGAAGGGCCCTAAATAGAGGAATCATACAATCAAGTCCTTCATTGCATGCCTGGAGGTTTTGGGCATTGATGTGTGTTTATTATACACGTTGTTGTATTGTTTAAAGCATTTTCTTTATACTTAGAATTGAATTTCTGTTTGAAATATCCATTTATAATTGCCTCAAAGAGCTGGGAAACAGCCAGTTTGCTGTAACAAAGGGATGTGCCTCCTGTGATTTCATGTATCCTTTAGACTTATTATTTTTTTAAAATAACAGAAAGGAATTGTCAAAGTTGGGGTGGTGTTCCATCCAGCCCAATAACAACAGACTGTGTTAGAGTTAGGAGGTGTCAGAAGTGTGAAAGCTCTTCATACCTCTCCCCTCATCCAAAGATACACAGTAGAACTACACCCATGGGGCCTTAATGGCATGAATAGCCAGGAGCATCTAGTAGTTACGAGACATCCACTCCAAGACAAGCACTTTCACAATCACAATTAAGCTGTCTGACTTCAGGCTTGGGAATCTATCTCTGTCAAGATTTTGCATGTGCCACTGAGATTATGATGTGTTAAAATTCTATCTGAGCAATTATCTGCTTCACTGAGCAAAAATTATGGCTTCCAAATGTCTGCTTTGCCAGTCTGTACACACTCCTGAATAATACTGGAAAGAATCCAAGGGACTGTTTTTGCCCTTGCTCCGTTATGGGTTTGCATTGATAGCCTGTTTAACATAACAATAGTATGCATGGAAAGGCTGCCAGCAATTGCTACACGTTGCTCTTGCTCCAGATATTTCAAGTCTGCTAAGTCAAATATTAAAAGAGGAAAGGACTCGGGGTCCCCAGAAACACAATGCAAGGTTACCAATGGAGAAAATGAGCTGTGCAGTGACAATATGGCCAATGGGAGTCTGAAATGCATCTCTTGCTTTCACGAGCAACAAGGTTTAAATAACTAAATCAAATAATTTGACACTGAAAATAGTCTCCTAATGAGGAAGCAATAGAATTCAAAGGCTCATGAGTCCCTCAAGGACAGAGGTTTTGGTGGCAAGAGATTTGAATGAAAAAAAGTCCAATGCCTTCCTCTTTGGGCCCTTCCACACTGCCTTATATCCCAGAATATCAAGGCAGAAAATCCCACAACTGGCACTTCCACATAGCCCTTGTATCCCAGAATATCAAGGAAGAAAATCCCACAATATCTGCTTTGAACTGGGTTATCTGTGTCCACACTCAGATATTGTGGGATTTTCTGCCTTGATATTCTGGGATATAGGGCTGTGTGGAAGGGCCTTCTATCTGCTTTGAACTGGGTTATCTGAGCCCACACTGCCATATATTCCAGTTCAAAGCAGATAATGTGGGATTTTATTCAGCTGTTTAGAAGGGGCCCTTGATTGGGTGCGGAGAGCATGTGTAGATGTAACTGTAAGACCACCAATCATTGGAGGCATAGACATAAGGTAAATAATTACCCATTGATGGTGTCATTGTTATGAGAGTTTTGAAAGGGGCATTGTGGCAGTTTAAAAGAATTTGGGTCAATTCTTTTTCACACAAGTTCTTCCCATGGCAATGGGGCAGTGAATCAGATCCGGATTTTTAATCTAAATTTGAAGAAATTATGCCAGGTGTTGAATCTAGTTGAGGGCTAGGGTTTAAATCTTTTCTACGGCCCCTTTAAGTTTGGACTCAATCCTGGAGGAGATTCTCTGGACACTGACATTAAAAACTTTCACTCATCTTCTCCTATGTTAGACATCTTCACTGCTGGCAGAACTGTACACAGCATAATTATCATGCCTTGCAAAATCAACAGCCGGCATGATCCCACAGAAGCCACAAGGAGCTTAGAGTTTGCACTGAGCACATTCCAATAGACTATTCTTGCTTTAGATTAGGAGCAGGCAACTTGAAGATCTGCCAATGTTGTTCTTTGCCCCCCCCCCTTGCCACCCAGGAGTTGTGTTGGGTAAAGCTGATGCAAACTGCAGTTTAGCATCATCCAAAAAACTACAAGTTATTTGCTCTTGATTTAGATAAAAGGGAGAATTTCTGATCCCTGTCTGCAACGTCCTCAAGCCAGAAAAGCAACATGGAAAGCAGGCAGTGAATTCTGGATAATAAGAAAACTATATTTTCAGAGAATGGGGAAAACCTCTTCTGTTTGCTTCTTAATGCTTTCTTTGCCCCAGGCTTACTATAGTAGTAGTGCTCTAAATTAGAATGTGTTGCGCTGACGGGTTGCAGGCTATTCCACAAACATACCCCACTTCTCACTGCTATTTTAGGATTTCTTTTCCTGTTGTTTGCATCAAATGCAGTTCACTCCAGGTCCCTCTTTGTTTCCAACAGGTTTTATTCCTGCTGTGAAGGCTATGAACCAACTGTAATGCTGATAAAAACTACCCTGGGGGAAGTAAGTGTCTTCTGAGTGTACAGTGAAAATCCTCCTCAGATGAGACAAGACTGTGTAGGGGACTCATCCCCTATAGGAATGAAAACACTGATTTGCAAAGTTAGAAAGTGCTCCAGCTGTGATCTAGTCCAATTCTCTGTCATTCAGGAATCCACAAGCATACATAACAGTGATCCAACCTCTTTTTTAGAATCTCCAACCAAGGAGAGTTCACCTTCTGAAGTAGTTCTTTCCACTTCGGAATAGTTCTTACCAGGCATGTAGCCGGGGGGGGGGGGGGGGGCTTCAGCCCCCCCCCCCCAATTCTCATGGTGGCCCTCGAGAAGGCCTTACTGGTGCATTATTTAAACTGTTATGTTTATTCATATCATGATCTGATCCCATACTCAATATATCCCATATGCATGGGGGTATTGGGGTAACGATACAAAAGGTTTGCTAGGGTAGACCCTCTTTCACTCAGACTCAGCCCCCCCCCCCCCCGAAACAAACTCACCCCCCCCCCGAATCGAAATCCTGGCTACGGGCCTGGTTCTTACCATAGGAATCATAGAATCAAAGAGGTGAAAGAGACCTCATGGGCCATCCAGTCCAACCCCCTGCCAAGAAGATCTGCCAATGTTGTTCTAATATTTAGTCAAAATCCCCTTATGGTTACCATAAAATTGAAAACAACTTGAAAGCACACAACAACAGTTGAAAAAAACCATCATAAGAAAGATGAAATTGTTAATATCAGAAACCTGATTTGGGGTTCAATCTCACCTTTAGGCGAAGTATGTATACTGTTTAAGATATCAACATCCAAACAAATAACACAGTCTTTATACAAGTCAACTGACCATTAGGCAAAACATGAAAGACATTTTGGCACAAAATGATAAAACATTCAGTATTATAACAATTTGAAATAATAAGAATAAGAATAATAAGAATAATAATAACTACTTTATTCTTATATCCCACCACCATATCCCCAAAGGGACTCAGAACGGCTTATAGATGGCACAAAGTGCCTAAAAACATACATAAAAGTAAACACAATGCAAAATATAATGAAACACATGCACATATAAAAACATCAATTCAAATCAAGTTGTGATCATCTAACCGTGGTGGTAAATACTGGAACCATGGCCGAGCTATAAACATTAGAATAAAATATGTGCCATATAATAAAAAGTATATATACTTTCTGGTGTCATCCCTTGTTGTGGAGTCACAGGACACTAGCATGCCAATTCAGATGTAGTTTTAAAGTATTATGTAAAATTTATACAAACAGCATGAAAAATGAGAAACACGGGGCATATCCAAATATTGTGTAGCATAAGCTTATGAGTTTCAGCAGTAGAGAAAAAGAATATGCAATAATTTCTGTCATATTTTTTTCAGTGTCTCCTAGCAAGTATGCCGGAGAGCTGTGACTAAACTTAATCTCTCATATTTTGTAAAAAGTACAAGAAGAGAGCTCATGGTTTAAGGACTCTATCAAATCCTATCTACAAGGGCAAACAACAATGATGATAGATGATTGCCTGAAATTGAAAAAAGAGGGGACAACATCAAATCAGGCTTTACGGAATGGCATGTGGTATTTAGAAATAGTCAAATTTTCTAAATAATTTGAACCTCTCTGAGATATAGATTATTGTATACGAGTGTTTTTGATGTGATACACCAAGATCAGTTTTGCCCTTGCCAAATAATGTTAGAGAGAAAGTAATCAGGCCAACATGCATTAATTAATGCTCACCACCAAAATATGTATTTCTGTACCTCGCTGGCTCAGATGTCCAGATGCTTCTGATTGCCAATATCAATAATATTTTTAAAAGCATGTGTATGGTGGTGGGAGATAGAGATTTAATTAAGAGAAGAGATAATAGCATGTTTTATTACATTGCACAGTCCCATTTCATCATGGCTAGGCTATGTCAAATTACTGAAGGAACAAGCTTTTGTGATCACACATTTCCCATTTTCTTTGCTCTGCCTCATATACATGCATTACGAAATAAATCACTTCTTGTCTGTCTCACTACAGGTGTGTGGAGCATTTCTCTCCTCTGACTGGAATGAAAGGAAGAAAAGTGGGGGAGCATCAAGCTTTTTTGGCACAGGAGAATGCTTTGTTTTCACTGTGAGTTTCACATTAGCTCCCATAGTGGAGAATTAGTTTATAAGCACCTGTACTTAGCCCTTTTATTTACTGGGTGTGACTACTAGCATTAGCACCATCAAGTAGGTCCTTAAACATACAGGGTGCTTCAAAATGATGGACCCAGTTTCAAAGCAGTAGATTTCACGATGTCAGCATGCTACAATTGCACAAAAAGTTACAAATGGTTTAATGAGTTACCAGGTTATCCAGTTTTACTAATCATTTTGGGCCAGAAAGAAACCTAAAAATGGCAAATATACCATTAGAGTTTATGTTGCACAAATGGCAAATAACCCATTAGGCCTTACGTTGTGGGGTCATCATCTTGCAGATGACTGAGGCTAGGGGCTGTTTGTGTGTTGGGAGAAGCACCTAGCAGCAAACATTTCAAACTCTATGACCCACCCTTTCAAGTGGTAAGAGTTTCATTCATGGACAGTTCAAGGTAGCAGAGATATAGTGATGTCAAAACAGGGCCATCTGTTTTAGGCATCCTCTTTTTTGGAGTTAATGATGGATCCCCAACATACCAGAATATAGCTGTGTTTTTGGGAGATGACTTACCAGTACTGTATATTGGTTACTTTCAAATAATCACTTCCTATTCATAAAGGTCATTTTTTGGCCAAATAATTTAGCATTCTATAGAGCTTGTACAAATGCTTCATATATACACAGAAACTGCTGATCAACTTTATTAATTCATTTGTCAACTTCTTCTGCTAAACTTTCTAAAAACTGGGTTTACTGCTCTACTAATAGCATACATAACACATAGTTTCCTGTGAATTCATATCAATCCCTACATGGTGTTTCCGGGCTACATGAAAGACTGGAAGTTTGCTAAAATTTCAAAACCTTCTCAGTTGTATCACCCTTAAGGTTGTTTTTGATGCATATGTTTTTTTCAGGGAGTTTCTCCTAGATTTGGGAACTTCCAGCACAAGGGATCCTCAAACTCAACTCTCTCTATAGTCCTTCCATTTTTTTTAAAATGCTGGCAGGCTTTTGGCAAATGTTTTTCAATTGAGTTTTCAATTTTCAGTTCTGTGAAACTGGTCTTTTAATTTAATTTTGTTTTAATTTCTGATCTTGCATATTGTTATTTAATATTGCTGTGAGCCACCTTGAGTCCTTTCTTTGGGAGTAAGGTGAGAGAATAAATCCAGTAAAAAAAGGGAAATGAATTAAGGCCTCAAGTAATTTGTGTGCTGTCCTCACACAAAGCTAGGATATACCTAACTTCTGACTTCTTTTTTCTGTGTTTGAAAGGTACACCCTGAAATCGAACGGTATGAGTGGGTATTCATCAAGAAGCCAGAACAAGCTAAAGCCATGCCTCGCTCCCCACGCCAGCGTTCCCCGTCTCCCTTTTCTGCAGAGGGGCGCTCATCACCCAGCCCCAACCATCTCACCGTGCCAAAGTTAGACATGATTAAATACCGTCTCTCTCCATTCCTGGCAATTAGACACTTCAAGTTACCTTCCAAAACAGCCTCTATGTTTATGTCTGGAACTCAGGATGGAATTATCATAGGTAATTATGGTACTATAATAGTATATCTGCCACAGAACAACTAGTGCAGCCAGTATATCTGGCACCCCTGGTCCAGGTCTATTGATCTTTCCCCCAACTGAGATGAGTGCATAACTTCTAATTTCATTGTCCACAGCAAGCAGGAAAGTGTGTTTTGTCATTTTAGCCTTCTAATGTTTCTCTGCAAAACCAGCTATAAGTAAATTTAAGAAATTGGGAGAAACTTCTAATTTAGTTATTTTTAAGAAATGTAACTATTTTTGGGAGTCTCAGCACTGTAGTATTTTCTTTTGGTAGTTTTCCACACTGAGAATGTCATTGCTAGTTTCTGTTAGTCACTCAAGCATTACCTGTATTCTAGGTAATTGGGCAAAAGTACACACAGGGCTTTTCCTATTCCTTAGTCAGTCAGGAGCATGAGGACATAGAAACAGACAGTTGCCCTTTAAGAGCTAAAATTGGTATCCACCAGGAGTGAGATCACTGGAACGCATGGCACTGCCACCCTTATTTTGGGCTTTAGCTGCTGACCTTTGTTGGGAAAGCAGCCTATTTTGTGGATAATGGATTCCCCTGCTATGCGTTGTCACAGCCTCTGTCCTCTCTCGTTTGATTTGATTAGGAAGACTGGGAGGATCTGTGGTATTGTCAAATTGCCCAAACCAGACTAGCCTCTGCTTTGTTTCCCCTATTTCCTCCACTGCTTCGCTTTCTTCCCATCTTCTTTCTACTTCTAATCTCAATTTTCCTGCTTTCTCCTTGTACAGCTATGCCTGAGCTGGAGGTCTAGATGTAGGTTGTACGTAATGATCTCTTTTCTGTCTTCATTTGCTCTGTAATTCTTCTTTTCTGTGCCCACTGGTGCTAGTACATTAGTGCACTATTTTCTGATTTTTAAAAAGTACTTTTTGTTTGTTTAATCTATTAATCTCAGGATTCATTCACATGCACGCATTCCCATGTTCCTTCACAGGGCTGTTATGGGGTCCAAGCTGTCAACCAGCTGGGCTCAGCAGGGAGGTGATAGTGAACTAAATACACAGACCTATTTACTTTTCTAAATTAAAACAAAGGGAGAAGACCCTGAGAGAGCTTAGCAAGGACTGAGCACACTCAGTATTGAATGTCTGTTGAAAAATAAAAAAATAAAACCAAGATGCTTGTCTGGTTTGAATCTCTAACAGTTTTCAGCATACTAGCAGGAGTAGCCAGCAAGCTACCTGGAACTCTGAATGAGAAGGTTAATGGCCTGCAACTTCCATCTTCCATCCCCAGTGGCTAGGATTAATTCCACCCTTGCCTTAACAGAAGTGATTATACTCTGTAACATTGAAGAAGAACATCTTCACTGACATCAGGTGCAGCTTTACGTAAAGTAGCATGAGGAAAATCAATCAGAAAACTCACGAGTGATGCATCATGCTTGCATTTAACAACATATCTACTAATTCTGCATTGCACATGAAATATGTGCACAGCTTAGACACTTATTTAGTGTGGATATAGATCTTAGGTGCATTTACATTGTAGAATGAATGCAGTTCAACACCACTTTATCTGCCATGGCTCAGTGCTATGGAATTCTAGAAGTTGTAGTTTTACAAGGTCTTTACATTGTAGTTGTATTCCTAAACTGTCACCTTTGTAGTCATATGTAACGCAATGGAGTTGGGCTACTGGTGAATTCTGTAGCTGCACACAGGACCAGTTGATACCCTGATGCTAATGGTAGACACTAGGCGGCACTAATAGATCCCCATATTAGCAAAGAAAATACACAATATTTTGCAAATACAATACATTCACTTACACAGCTTCCAAGCCAAAACACCTATTTTCACGTATCTTGCAAACTATGTTGAAATTGAGGTCAGGTTTAATTTTCACGAGGGCAAGCTTAATTTTTTTTGCTGTCACTCGCCATTTTTGTCATCTAGATGACACCATCCGGGTGATTATTACTACATAGAATCAATTCTGTCATCAAGCCATTTTTACGTGCTTCATCCAAAAGAATGGCAAAAAAATAATAATCCCCCACTTGGTTGGTAATTTTGCAAAATTATAAAACCAAGCCAACATTTTAAAAATTCCACATTTTGTGTGTTTCTTGTACACTTTATTGACATATTCACAATCAGAGACAGAAACTGCTTGTAGATACCTCCACTCGGAAAAACGAGGTTCCTGAATTTGGACCTTATTTTCAATTAGCAACCCAAAATCATAAAAGAACAGCTATTTTCAGGCCCGCAACTTTCTAGAATCTTCCATAGTGTAAGTCGCAACATGCATTTTTTCAACCATACATGATCACGTGATTGCTTATATCATAAAAACTAGAGCCAATATACATTTTTAAATGTCATTTTCATTTTCAGCACCCCAAAATCATAAAAGAACAACTATTTTCAGGCCCGAAACTTTTTCTCCGTTGAACAGTGTAATTAATACTAACAGTTGGATTTAGATTGTGCAGAGCAAAACACTTCAAAGATCTGTGCTCTCTTTTCTCTCAGGTGGTGGCGGAGGCCAGGCCCTGTCTATTGACGCCAATCTGTATCATGGAAGAACTGAACACTGCGAAACATTTGACAACCCTCCTCTTTGCCAGGAAAATTTCCAGGTGCAGCTCCTAGAAGTTTGGGGCTTTCAAAACTCTTGATCAACTCCTTTCCAGTTGAGGCTGAAATTGCTTCTCACAACATTGATGGTAGTGAAACAAAGGACATTGGATGATGACTGATAGCTGGAGGTGTCAATGATCAGAAGCAGATTTTTAAAAATGTGGTTGTCTATTAATACTATCTTTTGTGATAAGAATGTTTTGAAAAGAACCATAATAATAGCTATTTGATATTGTAAGATTGCTTGTCCCCAAAACCGTTGTACCTAGAAGTCTCAAAAAGTTTAAATTTAGAAGAAGATATGGAATTACCATGGTTCATTGGTCACTGCAATTAAGCAAATCCACTATCAGAACAGAGGAAATCTCCAAGGACTCTTTTTCTTTATTTGATTGGTATGAACAGGTACAGTCACTAGCTTTTCTGTCAAAACCTTTATGCTATAAAAGAGGGAGGGGAGGAATGAGTGTATTTATAAATCAGTGGAACAAAAAAAAATCAAGGTAACATATGTCTATAGACTTTATTTTAGCATGTATTGATGTATTTCCTCTCATGTATCTTTTTACTTTGTGTGGTGTATTTCTTTTAATTTTGCTATAACAAATGACATCACATAGAAAGACATCAGATGCCAGATAGTTGACTTTGATTGGTATGTTCACAAGAGAAAACCTGTGAATTTGACTTGATACCATATGTCCCTGCTGACAATACCCCCAGTTTCCATTTTTGTTATATATGATATAGAATTTAAAAGGAAGGTAAAACAGAGAATGGTAAATCTGTCAAACGTCTTTGGGTCTAGTTTTGTCATATTTCCTCAATAAAATTTGTTCTGTCTTACTTTTCTATTGGTTTGCAAAGCATTTCTTTAAGTTTACATGAAATTTCTTACAGGTTTTGTGCCCATTTCTTCTTCTATACCTGGCTACACTGAGATTACCTAGAGCAGTGGTTCCCAACCTTTTTTTTTTTTTGACCAGGAACCACTTTGTCCAGGGACCACTCCCCGACATTAGAACCAAAAGGGTTATGAATTAGTTTTTGGTTAACTTTAGATTTAGGTTGTTGTAGGTTTTTTGGGCTGCATGGCCATGTTCTAGAAGCATTCTCTCCTGATGTTTTGCCTGCATCTGTGGCAAGCACCCTCACAACCTCTGAGGATGCTTGCCACAGATACAGGTGAAACATCAGGAGATAATCTTTCTAGGACATGGCCATACAGCCCAGAAAACCTACAACAACCCAGTGATTCCGGCCACGAAAGCCTTTGACAATACAATGAACTTTAGATGTGGTTTGGTTATGTGGGGTGCTGATTCAGAAAATTAAATTGGATAGATCACATCAACACTAGTTTCTGATACAGAACATACGCCATCCAGTAGTTGCCATCTGCTCGCTTTCAGAGAAAACATATTTAATAAGCCTTGGCACTATAAGAGGGTTTTGCGAGACCAGTCGCTCTCATTGCAGTAGTAATGCTGAGTCTGTGGACCATATTTTAGATCTTGCGGACCACTGATGGTCCACAGACCACAGGTTGGGAACCACTGACCTAGAGTAAACCTACTGAAATATATAAAACCTGTTAGTTTCTATTACTTAAGGCTGATTGATTTTGTCTTTTACTCCAGATTGAAAAATGCATTCTCTGTGGTCATGTGCTCACACATTTTTGCATGCAGTTTCCCAAGTGTAAACATATTTATATACATTTAAAAAAAATTATACCTTTTCTTTTAATAGACTCCAGTGATTTTGTGTGCATATGTTTTCATATATGTATTTTTAACTGACAAACTTCCATCCAATGTTTGGGAAAGTGCAGATTTTGGAACACAACTGCATTTCAACTCAGGAAATGTGGATAAAATAGCTTTGTTTCAGTTTAAGAGAAGCCTAATGAATTTTTCCTCCAGCCAAGCTTTAAGAATTATAATTAAAATAAGATTTTTATCTTTTTCCCAAAGCCAAACACATTGAACGTTTTCTAAAGTTTATTTTTTCATAGCTGATTATTGTTTGTTTATCATGATTTTGCCACTTTGCAAACTATGCAGAATCCTCAACCCAAAATAATATACTTCTTTTGCATATAAACTTTGCCACGGTACTCAAATATTTACCATCTATACATTTCTTTCTAGCTTCAGAAGAGGATGACACTATAGGCCATATTTAAAAGTCATCAGATGATCTGAGAAAGTATTTGTCTAAAAATACATTTGTGCCAGTGGTTTTGAAGTTTAGCTGATGTTGCCAATAGAAGAAGTTATTACAGCGCTGTCAATGTGGAAAAATCTTTTTTGTACCTAAAAAAAGGTGTTCCTGGAGAATATAATGAAGCATTCGTTGGATCCCTGTTATATTCACCAGCGTTTGATCTGCACACCTAGGTAGCTTTGCATCTGGGCTACAGATCCCAGAACAGAACAGAACAGAAGTAGGCATCCTGTCCCTATGGTCAAAATAATTTCAGAAAGCCCTGAAGCTTCCATAGACCTTGTCTTTAAAAAAAAAGGCCAAGAGACATCTGGTGACTGCGAAGCTCTCCAGACTACATGCTTTTTAACAGTTCTGCAGGCCCTCTGGGCATCTTGTTAAGAGTATTGCATAAAGAACTGTCACTAAAAGATTTGAATGGGCCTTCCCTCTTAAAGACTGAACACTTTTACATTAGGGATTGCAACAAAGCAGGGAGCCTTCTCAATCCACCTATTCTAAAGATGAAAGAAAATAGAATTGTCTTTAGCCTTCAGGGCTGCCAGTCATTTTGATTTCCTGTATGATTTCCATCCTGCAGCGATGAATAAACATTGTGGTACCGTGCTGTTCTTGTCACCAGAGTCGTGCATTTTACAACAAAGAAAGTAGCGTTATGATTGCCACCAGACACTAGCAAACACCATTAGTATTCAAAGTATAGTAACACTGTACGCATGAGTGTTAATAGTTAAAGCAGAGGATCCCTTGGTAGCATTGGGAAACATGGTTGGTTGTAGAATTGGCTTGTTAAAACAGTTTATCCCATAATGAATTGGTTGTTTGTCACATAGCTTTCTCATTTCCACTCCAAGAAGCTTGTAGCTGCCCCTCTGCAAGATGTCTTTAATGACTATACCTGTTTTCTGGATTGCAGCCCACTTTGGTTGCACTTGTTTTTGTCCACTTACCGAAAAGATAACTAATCAATACTTTCAAAGTGAAACTATCACAAAAGATATGGCAATGCAGGATACCAATTAAGAACAGCGGGAAGATATGTAAGCGTTGCTCAAATAGATTTCACCGTTGTACAATAAATTGATACAAGCTGCTACAGAAGGGATATCCAGCTAGCCTAGTGGTTGACCTAAGAGAAAGAAAGAAAAGCTGCTAAGGGTGTCTGTGTGTGTGCATATATGACAGACCAAAGAGAAGTGATAAGGTAGTGATTGTGTGACTGTGCCTTGCAAAGATATACTAAAAACAGGAGGCAAAAATTGAAAAATGCTATGAAAATAACTGTTAGGCATAGTCTGTTAGTTTGTTTTCGAGTGTATGACAGCCAATAGAAAGAATTACATTTGAAACATTTCAAACAACAGTCTCTCAGAATCCCCATTGACTGGGTGGTTTTATAATCTATACAAACATAATTATAGACTTAGTAAGTTCTTGGGTTACAGTTCATAGACCAGTCTGGGAGCCATTGACTGCTGATATGTAGCATGATTCCATGAAATAAACAGTTGTAGCCAGTAGCCCAAATATGGTACTGATTCCTGGCATATTGAAAAAATAATTGCTGGACCCTTACGTTGGTGGTTCTCAGCCTGTGGATCCCCAGGTGTTTTGATCTACAACTCCCAGAAATCCCAGCCAGTTTACCAGCTGTTAGGATTTCTGGGAGCTGAAGGCCAAAACATCTGGGGACCGACAGGTAGAGAACCACTGTTTTAGTGTATCATAGAATAAACAAGTGCCTAAATGGTCTTATCTGTAGCCTGCTGTTAAATGTTTTGGACTCCTCTACTTATATAAATCATCTCAAAATACATCCATAGGTATGTGGCCGCTACATAGATGACTTGAAGTGGTTCCAAAGCGGAAAAATAGTTGTGTTTACAGGTTATGAGCCTATTTTCCCTGCCCCCTTCCAACACAGGAGCATTCAAAAGAAACAAGGATAGTTCTGTAAAAGATGATTGCAGCAAAGTTCTAAAGATATTTAGTTAATGTGCCTGGGCAATGCTGGGTTGCAGCACCACATGCTCCAGGGGACAAGTGAACTACATCAAAGCTTTGACTAACTGCAGAACTGGCATCCTTTAGCTCACAATATATGTCCTGAAGTGCACCTCTGTTTTCCTTTCAACTGGATGGCACTATGTGACCTCCCCTTTATCTAGCAGATTTATAGAGAGGATATAGTGAATGTATTCAAGCTGAAATTACATCTGTTTCTATTTTAAAAACTCCAACATTTCTTTATGAAGAAAAACAAATTGAAACTGAATCCAAACAAAACAGAGGTGCACTCCCCCTGAAAGACTATGTTCACAGATTGGGAGTGCTCCTGGATCCATCTCTCCAAATGTCAGTCCAAGTAGATCTGACAGTCAGCTTCAGCTGATACACCAGCTGCATCCCTTCCTAGATAGTAGTACATGAACTGGTAACCTCAAGGTTGGATTTCTGCAATGCGTTGTACATTGAATTACCTCTGTACCACATTCGGAAACTCCAGTTAGTTCAAAACATGGTAGCCAGATTGGTTATAGGAACATCCAGGAGTGAGAATACTACACCTATTTTAAAGTCTCTCCACAGGCTGCCAATTAGTCTCAGGGCAATGTACAAAGTGTTGGTTTTGACCTTTAAAGCCCTACATGGTTTGGGTCTAGGTTACTTACTAGATCGTCTTCTTCCATACAGTCCTCTCCAGAATTAAAATGGAAAGACCTATCTCTTCCAGCAGGCCTACCCAATCAGCTCTGAATTATGTGTTTTGAATTTACATATGATTTACATTTATTACTGATATATGTTAATTCTGTAACCTATGTTTGGTGTATGTTTTTATAATGCATTTCATGTATCTATATATTTCATTATATGTATTTTATGTTTATATATTTTGACTCTGTTGCACCTCACCTTGAGCCATTAGGGGAGGCTGATTATTATTATTATTATTATTATTATTATTATTATTATTATTATTATTTAGTGAGGTACCAATCCTCTTCGGTAGAGAAGGCTACAATTCCCAGGATTCCATAGCATTGAGTTAAAGTGATGTCCAACTGCATTCATTCTACAGTGTACATGCACCCTTAGGCATTATGAATGTTAATGCTTCAACGAAAACTGAACAACACATTGGTTCATTAACAAAGCTTTTGAAAGGGAGCATATGGGCTATTCGGTCTCCACAGAGCACAGAGACTCCTGTTGGGAAAGTACTCCTTTCTCTGGAACAGATACAGAAGCTGAATAAAGTAGGGCACTGGCATTTGCCAAAGATAGCATAATTGGCTGCCTGTCCTACCTTTGGAAATAGAAAGAAGTGGGAGCCTGCCTGAAAGTAGGACAGCCCCGATCAAAAGTAGGAAACTCTTTCCTTACAGTAGCCGGAAGCAAAGAAGGCAGGTCAAGTGGAAGGAAGAAAAAGAAAGGGATGGTTACTTGGGGTATTTTAGTTTATTAAAATGATGGCTTTACTCTTCAGGAAAGAAGAAAAAACACAGAGAATGTACGCTTGACAACCAACCGCTGAGTCCAGCTAAGAGCCTTGCCACGTTTTAGGCTCCCTATAGTGACACTTTGGGTGAATTTCTTAGCACTTTTTATAAATATTTGATCCTGGCATTACTCTTTCAACAGGAACCTAAAAATATAGAGAAAGCAGTAATAGCCTGAGCAATTTTGTCAATTTACAGTTTGATTTGTTCAGCAACCTGCCTAAAAAGTGTAAGTGAGGAAGCTGGGTTCCTATGGAAAATTTGTGTGGCTATTTTTCATTCCCATCCACACTGCCATATAATGAAGTTTGAAATGACATTATATGTTCAGTGTTGATTCATATAATGCAGTTCAATGCAGTTAGGAGTAATCATGCTTAGTGTTGTACCTATAAAATACGCTCTCATTTTTGTCTTTTCCCCAACTGTTACAAAAAAACAAACATATCGGGCTTTGGTATCTTATTAAAAGTCAGGCCTTCTCCATTGACAGATTAGAGAGATGGGCCAAAACTCACAAAATGAAGCTCAACAGTGACAAATGCAAGATACTCCACTTAGGCAGAAAAAAATGAAATGCAAAGATACGGAATGGGTGACGCTTGGCTCGACAGCAGTACGTGTGAAATAGATCTTGGAGTCCCTGTGGACAACAAATTAAACATGAGTCAACAATGTCATGCGGCAGCTAAAAAAGCCAATGGGATTTTGGCTTCATCAATAGGAGTATAGTGCCTAGATCCAGGGAAGTCATGCTACCCCTCTATTCTGCCTTGGTCAGGCCACATCTGGAATACTATGTCCAATTCTGGGCACTGGAATTGAATGAAGATGTTGACAAGTTGGAATGTGTCCAGAGGACAACCACTAAAATGATCAAGCGTCTGGAGAACAAGCCCTATGAGCAGCAGCTTTTTTTTTTTTGGTCGTGTCAGGAGTGACTTGAGAAACTGCAAGCCGCTTCTGGTGTGAGAGAATTGGCCATCTGCAAGGATGTTGCCCAGTGGACGCCCAGATGATTTGATGTTTTTATCATCCTTGTGGGAGGCTTGTCTCATGTCCCCGCATGAGGAGCTGGAGCTGATAGAGGGAGCTCATCCGCCTCTCCCCGGATTCGAACCTGTGACCTGTCGGTCTTCAGTCCTGCCGGCACAGGGGTTTAACTCATTGTGCCACCGGGGGAAAGCTGAAAGATCTGGGCATTTTTAGCCTGCAAAAGAGAAGGATAAAAGGAGACATGATGGCCAGGAATAAAGATGTGAAGGGAACTCATAGGGAGGAGGGAACAAGTTTGTTTTCTGCTGCCCTGGAGACTAGGACGCGGAACAATGGCTTCAAACAACAGGAAAGTAGATTCCACCTAAACATTAGAAAGAATTTCCTAACTGTGAGAGCTGTTCAGCAGTGGAACTCTTTGCCCCAGAGTGTGTTGGAGGCTCCTTCTCTGGAGGCTTTTCAACAGAGGCTGGATGGCCATCTGTTGGAGGTTCTTTGAATGTAATTTTCCTGCTTCTTGGGAGGGGGTTGGGCTGGATGGCCCACGAGGTCTCTTCCAACTCCAACTCTATGATTCTATGACATTAATCTGATAATCGCATGAAGGAAATGAAGAAGAAACAATTGATTTTCTCCCCTGATTCACCAAATAGCATTGGATTCCAGCTCCCATCTATCTCAGCCATTATGGGCAAGTTACTTTTGATGGGAGTTGCAATCCAATCTGGAAAGGATCAAGTTCCCCATGCTTGCTATAAAACAAAGTCCAAAAGTTTGGTTAGAGAGGGTGTAAAAGGTAAAGGTTTCCCTTTGACATTAAGTCTAGTCGAGTCCAACTCTGGGGGGTGGTGCTCATCTCTATCTCTATTTGTTAGCCAAAGACACCTCCAAGGCCGCATGGCCAGCATGAAGCGCCATTACCTTCCCACAGAAGCAGTATCTATTGATCTACTCACATTTGTGTGTTTTCAAACTGCTAGGTTGGCGGAAGCTGGGGCTAACAGTGGGAGCTCACCCCGTCCTATGGATTCGAAACCGCCGACCTTCCGGTCAGCAAGTTCTGCAGCTTAGTGGTTTAACTTGCTGCACCATCACAGAGGGTGTAGCACTTATTATTTAATAATAATAATTTGAAAGGACTAATTCTGAACTTTGACAGCAGGAAACACTCTTGTGTTATCTTAAAGAGAAATACATTTCACTTGGCCTAAGCCTCTATTCCAGGCATGGGCAAACTTGGGCCCTCCAGGTGTTTTGGACTTCAACTCCCACAATTCCTAACAGCCTACCGCTGTTAGGAATTGTGGGAGTTGAAGTCCAAAACACCTGGAGGGCCCAAGTTTGCTCATGCCTGCTCTATACTGTAGAATTAATGTAGTTTGACCCAACTTGAACTACCCTCCTTCAGTGCCATGGGATCCTGGGAGTTGGAGCCATAGCAAAGAAAGGAGTGTCAAAGTGCTACAACTCTGCCGAAGCCACGCCCCTTTCCCCCCTTCCCAGCCAGGGCCAGGGAGCTTGCCTGGCGCACGCGCAATAGGCAGGGCGCCCGGTGGCCGCTGGTGCGCCTGCGCGGTCTCCCATGGCGACGGGCGTATACACATAGCGCCGGGCGAGAGGGAGCGCAGTCATGGCGAGCGTCCCCAACGAGGAAGCCGCTCCGCCCGAGGACTTGGCCGGCCTTCATCTGGAGGCCATCATCGGCTTCAATGGTACCGGAGGAGGGCGAGTGGTGGAGGTTGTATGCGAGGACGTGTGGCAGAAGGGACTGAACCCCCCCCCCCCCGCTTGGGTTGGAAGAAGTGAACTCTGCCCATGCTCAGAGACTCTCTTGCTGCCCTCCATCATGGATATCCCAAGGAGCGATTGGTTAAAAGATGTACACTCCTACAGCAGTTTATAATATTGGATTTTTGTCACACGCTTCTAAATGTGTACACCATCAAAAGCTTGTAATTCTATATGTGTTTAGCAATCCCTCTCCCCCAATGTATATACCTTTAACAATTTATAATTATAATTATTAAACTTTATTTGTACTCCGCTAGCATCTCCCGAAGGACTCGGATGTGGCTTACAAAGGCCAAGGCCTCAATACAGAACACAACAATACACTTAAAGCAAATTAAAACAATTAAAGCAATATTAAAACAACGAAACCACAGGCAATAAACAGTACATCAAACAAGATAAAACTAGGCCGGGCCAGAGTAAAGGGTACAGGATTAAAAAGTGCTGATCTGACAGGTGATATGTAGGGATTATAAGGCAAGTGCAGGGTGCAGAGTGCGGCAATCTTAATTCTAATAAAGTGCTTCTGGGACTTGGTATAGGAGATTTCCTAATCGGGAAAGGCACATCGGAATACCTTTATTTCTATAATTCTGAATACCTTTCCCCTCCAATTCTTCTCTTAAAGATCAACAATACCAATCATAGAGAAATGTTGCAAAACTTTTTAGTGAGGTTTGCCACCTTGCACTTTGACAATGGGAGCAGGGATGGCAATTTGAACACTTGGCCTAAAATGGCAATTGAAGATGGAATTCCTAATTCTGATTAAATCACTATTATAATGCTTATAATAATAATATAATAGGTTGCTGTAGGTTTTTTCGGGCTATATGGCCATGCTCTAGAGCAGGAGTCCTCAAACTAAGGCCCGAGGGCCGGATACGGCCCTCCAAGGTCATTTACCCGGCCCTCACTGAGGGTCAACCTAAGTCTGAAATGACTTGAAAGCACACAACAACAACAACAACAACAAACCTATCTCATCAGCCAAAAGCAGGCCCACACTTCCCATTGAAATACTAATAAGATTATATCTGTTAAAATTGTTCTTCATTTTAATTATTGTATTGTTTTAAAGTGTTTTTGCACTACAAATAAGATATGTGCAGTGTGCATAGGAATTCTTTCATGCTTTTTTCAAATTATAATCCGTCCCTCCAACAGTTTGAGGGAGTTCTTGTGAATTTTTTCAGGCTATATGGCCATGTTCTAGAGGCATTTTCTCTGACATTTCGCCTGCATCTATGGCAAGCATCCTCAGAGGTAGTGAGGTCTGTTGGAACTAGGAAAATGGGTTTATATATCTGTGGAATGACCAGAGGGAAAACAATCAGGGACATCTAATCACCTCTCAACAAAAGATTGCCCATCAAATGCTAATCAAGGTGGTCAGTTGAAACATTCACACCTAGCTCCAACAGACAAGAGTCCTTTGTCCCACCCTGGTCATTCCACAGATATATAAACCCTTTCCTAGTTCCAACAGACCTCACTACCTCTGAGGATGCTTGCCATAGATGCAGGTGAAACGTCAGAAGAGAATGCCTCTAGAACATGGCCATATAGCCCGAAAAAACCTACAACAACCAAGTGATTCTGGCCATGAAAGCCTTCGACAATACAATAATATAATAATAAAACTTCATTTATATTCTCTCCCCAAGGGGACTCAGGGTTCTACAACAAAAGATGGCAAACATTCAATGCCAGATCCAATACATAAATAGAAACATAAAGCAATATGTAGTAGACTCGGTGGCGCATCAGGTTAAACCACTGAGCTGCTGAACTTGCTGACCAAAATGTTGGTCCAGGGAGCGAAGTGAACTCTCACTGTTAGGCTCAGCTTCTGCCAACCTAGCAGTTTGAAAACATGCCAATGTGAGTAGATCAATACGTACCACTTCTGTGGGAAGGTAACAGTGCTCCATGCAGTCATGCTGGCCACATGACCTTGGAGGCGACTACGGATAACACCAGCTCTTTGGCTTAGAAATGGAGATGACCACTAACCCCCAGAGTCGGACATGATGTGACTTAACGTCAAGGGGAAACCTTTACCTTTTCAGTAGACTATTCGTTAACTGGAACTAAAGCAAACTAGCTCTCACAAGCAATCGAGAAAAATAGTCGTAGAAATAAGATTTTAAAGAAAAATTAAAATACGTACCATTGTATAATACAGTAAAACGGTGTTACATTCAGGTGCATTTGTCTTTTAGTTACTGTATTTCGATATTAATATCAAGCCGATAAAGAGTTTATAGTATGTTATTTTTGGAGTATAGTACTTAGGCCTGTTTTTAATAACTCTCAAGCAACCAGGAACACTACCAGTCCCCCATGAGTGTGGTTAACTGAGAGTCTACTGTACAATTATAGCATTATAATTCCTCTTTAGGTGACATGGCTGTATCCTGCAGATTCCTGTATTTACTTAGCTTTCACATAACCACCATAGCTGCATTGTTGTTGTTGATGATGTGGTGGTGGTGTACCTTCAAGTCGCTTTGACTTAATCTGACCTTTAGGCAACCCTATTACAGGGTTTTTTAGGCAAGATTTATTCAGAAGGGGTTTGCCATTGATTTCCTCAGAGGCTGAGAAAGTGTGAATTGCCCAAAGTCACCCAGTAGGTTTCCATGGGCAAGCAGGGACTTGAACCCTGGTCTTTAGAGTTGTATTCTGAAACAACTACACCATGTTGACTGTCAAAGAATGTATATACTTTTTGGGACACCTTGCGTATGTGCCTTTTAGATGATCCAATAGAAAAATGGCCCTAGGTTACAGTTTGCTTCAAATCTTGTGTGTAAGTACACAATTTAAATTTAGGACTAACAAGCCATTGATTTCCTTCCCTGCTACAGCTAGACTCTACAGTTTAAATTGACAGCAGTGGGACAGGACAAGGGTTGGACACAGTTTCAGTCAGATATTATGTCTGCAACTACTTTCATATTGGCTGTGAACACAGCTGTTTTCAAATGTTTTGTGCCTTGGGGACATATACAAAGAGCTGTTTGGGTTCTGATTAGGTTCAGTGCCTTGAACATACCAATTTGTTCTGAATGGTTTAGGACTCAAGGCTTATAGATTTTTCCTCCTTGGAGCCCCAAGCTCTATCAGCATTAAATACAAAATTTAGAGTACTGTCCCTGTCTTCCTGTTTGATAAGTGGGAATTGGGATGGGAGTCACTGCATAGCATCCTAACTAGGGCAAATAATGTATTTATAACTCCCCAACAATATTCTGGCCATTGCAAAGCATCAAAGAAACTTTACTTCCAAGAACACAGTTAAGTCAGAGTTCTTCCTCAGTCATATGTCCTTAACTTTCCTCTTTCTTGTTCTCCTCCTGTTTGCAGGGCATGTCCCCTGTGGCCTCATCTGCCACCCGGATCGGGAGCACCTCATTTACCCTCTGGGCTGTACAGTAATTGTCCAAGGCATAAATGTTCGCACTCAAGAGTTTTTACATGGGCATACCAACAATGTATCCTGTGTCACGATTTCTGCGAGTGGATCTTATGTGGCCTCTGGTCAGATCACATTCATGGGCTTCAAGGTGAATAAGGGACTTTTACAAATGTTTTTGGTTCTCAGTGGCTGCTCTGATAACCTGGGGAAAGCCTTACACTGAAATCTAGTTTCCAGTTATTTTTAACCTTTAAGTTTGCATGCTTATGTCCTGTCAAAGTAGTGAGCAGTCCTATTGTTGATCAGACTGAATAAAAATTGGGTTTCCAACTGAGTTAATGGTCAGAGCACAGATGCAGATGCTCATTTCCATGGGGTTGGTGCAGAGAAAGCATAAGTGATAAGGGATATACTGCAAGGCTGATCTCAGGAAACAAGGGACTCTCAGGGATGAGTCCTGTATTTCTGAATTCCTTCAGAGCATGGTACATATGTAAACCTGAGCAAATAGCCATCAGTGATTGTTTAGTCTGCACACCCTTGAACTAAAGACAAGTTGAATATTTTCAAATATTGACCAAGTCAAGCCATGCATTTTAGTGCTTCTGCCTTATGTGTTTGCACACATTCTTCATCCTGCGATTTGACTGTTAAATGGGACATGTTTGCTGTAATCAATAGTACGGCCTTTCTCAATAGGGCTGTGATTGATCCAAAGAGTAGTTGCGCTCATGTATGGCAAAAAACACTTTTCATGGCTTTTTACACTAGATTTGTTCTTCTTGTTCGAGATTATGACACCTTACAAGCTGTGGAGTTAACTAAAGTGCTGTTGTCGTGCTGATCTTTGTTTTTCCTATCCCAGGCTGATATCATCTTATGGGACTACAATAAAAGAGAGATGTTGGCTCGATTGTCTCTTCACAAGGGTAAAATTGAAAATCTCGCCTTTTCTCCAAATGACCTTTACTTAGTATCATTGGGAGGTCAGGATGATGGAAGGTAATATTCAGTGAGAAGTGACGTTTCTTTTCTTACCATTTTTTTGAAACCAGGAATCATATGTGTAGAAGACCACTATCCTGTTTTAATCAAGGGAAAAGGGTTCCACAAATCTCTTTCACATCTGTTTTTGTTGAATATTGTGTTGCAAATTCGATGGGGGACAATTCACTTTCTCTTTTTTTACTCATGTATTCTGGCAATGCATGTATTTAGGGTGAAATAATTAAAATACAGCCAGTCCTCCACATTCACTGGGGTTAGGGGCCCAGCTCCTCTAAAAAAGTGAAAAACCACAAACAAAAATACTGCTTTTTTCAATCTAAGAGAACATGTTTCTAAGAATCTCTAGGTTCTCCAGCATGACTGTGATCAAGTTGTGCCTAATGCTGAGGGGACCTGCAAATTCCTCGAGAGAACACTTTAATGAGATTTGGAAATAAACTATTTATTAATTTATTTTTCTCCCACAGGTGGGACTCAAAGTTGCAAATCTGTAATAGCAGTTTATCATATTGAGATATAATCCATTTATATTCGTTTGCATTTCATATTTTGTTTAGAACTGCATTGCATTCTGTATTTAAATGGATGCATGTTGATTCCTGATTAAACATACTGATTACTATAGTTCGTATGTTTAGAAAATACTGTGCTTTGACTGGAAAAAGGAAGAGGGGCCAACCAAGGACAAGAAGGATGCATAGTATCCTTGAAATGACTGCCTGACTTTGAAGGAACTGGGGGTGGCCATGGCTGACAGGGAGTTCTGGCCTAGACTGGTCCATGAGGTCACGAAGTGTCGGAAGCAACTGATCAAATAAACAGCAGCAGCAGTGCTTTGACTCTTCTCCTCCCAATCCATTCAAATGCCTCCCTATGTGACTGTGACCTGTAAAAAAAACCAACTAAGATTTTGCAATTATGTAGTCTCAAAGTCTTCATCAAGGGTCTGGAGAACAAGCTCTATGAGAAGTGGCGTAAAGAGTTGGGCATATTTAGCTTTCTGAAGAGAAGGCTGAGAGGAGACATGATGAGAGCCATGTATAAAGATGTGAGGGGAAGTCATAGGGAGTGGGGAGCAAGCTTGTTTTCTGCTGCCCTGGAGACTAGGATGCAGAACAGTGGCTTCAAACTACGGGAAAGGAGATTCCACCTGAACATGAGGAAGAACCTCCTGACTGTGAGAACCGTTTAGCAGTGGAACTCCCTGCCCCAAACTGTGGTGGAAGCTCCTCCTTTGGAGGTTTTTAAACAGAGGCTGGATGACCATCTGTCAGGGGTGCCTTGAATGTGATTTTTCCTGTTTCTTGGCAGGGGTTGGACTGGATGGCCCATGAGGTCTCTTCCAACTCTATGATTCTATGATTCTTGCGATACTTAAAAAAGATGTTGCATCTGCTCAATAATAGCTTTGCCTGATTGCTACCATTTGGCATGAAACAAAAAATATACTGCTGATGTTGCTTCATTTAGTAATTCAATTTTATGAGGCCACACTCAAGGCAATTCAGAGGAACAGCAGCTTCTTTCAGCACGGCTTCTCCTTTTGAGAAGGCATGACAGATATTACTTTGAAGTATTTGTTGATTGTGTTGCTGGAGGGGACCTTACATGAGAAGGTGCCCTTACATGAGAAGGGGACACCCCAGAGCCATGGTGATGGTAGCTGAGGAAGAAATTTAGGAGATTTTGTAGCAGTGTGTAGCTGATTAAGAAAAACAAGCAATTAAATCTGTATTTAAAAAAGTACATTGCCAAGTATTTGTGATATAAAGAGGCAATTGAAGTACCGCTGAACTGCTCTTTTACCCACACCCCCTTTCACTTTCTCTCTACACATATCTTAAGGCGGGGCAGGAATCATGTGATTCTCCAGTTGCTATTAGACTGCAACTCCCAGCAGGAATGTGGGGATTTACAGTTCCAGCGACCTCTGAAGCACCACATGATTGCAGTTCCTGTCATAAGGGAAAATGAAAATCTTGACAAATATTTGGACAATTCAAATTATAAAGCAAACAAGAATGTATGCCTTTTAATTCCAAGATTTTATCTAAAGTGATGTGGTGGAAGGGATGCAAAAATGTGGAAAAAGCAAGACCGGAAAGTCTACATCCTTGCCTGCAGTTGCTGAAGTCTGCATTTTATGATTCAGCACCTGAATTTTTTCTCTTCTACCTTTGAGAGGTGTGATTGCTGTATCTGTATGTATACAGTTAGCCTTCCATACCCATGGATTCTACATCCATGGATTCCACTATCCTTGGCTGGAAAATGTTTGAAAAAAATCCAAAAACCAAACCTTGGTGTTGTCATTTTATATAAGGGATGCCATTTTACTACACCATTGTATGTAGTGGGACTTGAGCATCCATAGAATTTGGGGTCCATGGGAGTTCTGGAATCAAATCTCAGGAGATACCAAGGACCCATTGTATGCCCCTAGCCTCTATTGGCCTGCCTTTCCTACCAATAAGTTAGAACTGGTGGAAGATATCTCATATTGATTAAAACCTTAATTGCCTGAATCTGGCGTAGCAAGCTGAACATAGTTTCCAGCAGTATTTGTAGCTCTGCAGGTGTTCAGTACCCTTCTGCCTGAGTTGCCTGCTTGGGACTGATAAAATGGAAGTTATTAAACATTTGGCAGCTTACAAGACTAAAGCAGTAAGCTGTGTTTGGCTTGGAGGGTCACACATTGGGTAGTTAGTCCTGGCAGAATCACCATGCTGATGTCCAGAGTACTTCTGTATACAGAGCTTATATTTGCAAGATGTTCCACAGTAGCTGTAAGTATTTTAAAGGATCAGTTAAGCTACACCAGATTTTGCTGAAAATTAAAGTTTCTTGTAAGAGTTTTCTTTCTGTTCCCAAAAATGAGTGCAGAGAGGTGCCAAAGCATATGTTTGTTTGGCTTGGATTTTATTATTGGTAGCCTGTTCATTAATTCATATATTTATGTACTTGCAGTGCCTGTTTGCTGTCATGGCACTGTTGTTGCAGTCAGTATTTTTCCCACATAGTTAATCTGTGAATTAGGCTGCACATTCGTGATAAAGATTGTAATGCTACATGACGTGCCAAGGAACTGCCTAGATAAGATTTATTCCCACCTGATAGTCCTGTGAAAATAAAATTCAAACTCTGTTTTCAATGTGCATATACCACTTGCTTTCATCCCATTCTGTGTCAGTCTGCACTCCTATCAAACAAGGGTTTAGGGCAGAGGTCCCCAAACTAAGGCTTGTGGGCTGGATGCGACTCTCCAAGGTCATTTATCTGGCCCCTGCCCTAAACTTTAGACTTAGATTTGCCCTAAGTCTGAAATTACTTGAAGGCACACAACAACAATCCTAATTAACTCGACTAAAAAAGTAGGCCCACACTTCCCATTGAAAGATGGGTAAGTTTATGTTAATGAAAATTGTTTTTCATTTTAAATATTGTTTTGTCTTTAATTGATTTTTTGCATTATAGATAAGATATGTGCAGTGTGTATAGGAATCAGTTCATTCCCCCCCCCCAAACTATAGTTCAGCCCCCCAACAGTCTGAGGAACTGTGAATCAGCCCCTCACATAAAAAGTTTGAAAACCCCTGGTTTAGGGTGAAATGAATGGACAGTTAAGTAGTCTTGGGCTCATATGCTTCCTGGGCTAATGCAAACCATTTGTAAGTTCACATAAAATGCCTAAAGCCAGGTCAGGATGTGGGTAATGACTGAGTGCAACTCTAGAAGGGCAGTTTGCATTTCTCCTCCCGAACAAGTGTAAACATTTTTAAAAGGCAAAATGGCAGCTAGAGGTAATGCAGTGTCACTTCTGGTGAATCCCAGCTATAATAATGTGGCCTGTGAGAGGTATGGGGGAATATTTATCCCTGGAGGGATGCCTATCCTTGTAATATAATCCTTTGGCATAAGCCTGAATTCATGTATAGGTAGTGTTTGCACATTGAATCAGAATTTGACTTTTCTCACCACCTGCAAGTGAATTGAGGCCCTTTTTCGATTGTTTTCAAAAATACAAAACCATGGCTTACTGTTGGCAGGTGAACAAATTGAGTTGTGCTTCTCACCCTGCAATTCTATGGATGCATACATAGTTGAGGGAAATGTCAAACTGAATTGCTTGGGAAATGCTTCTAATTAATCATTCATGGAAGTCAAAATAATAAAGAAGTTATCCCTGTTTTCTGGCAGCATAGTGTTGTGGAGTGTCCAGAAGAAAGAAGCAATCTGTGGCAGCCCTGCTTCTGCACGTAGTGCTCCCAACCCAACTACACTGGTATATTCCAACTGCAGGGATGAAATGTTCATTAGTGCCGGAAGGTATGATTTGATGTTTAAGGGAAATGGCACCCATTTCATTTTTAGATAGAAGCTTTTGTGTCTCCCTAAAACAGCTGATCTCAATGACACAAATAATGAATAGGTGAAAGAGCAGCTATAGTTTCAATGTTTCTGGACAGTGGCAGTGGAGAAATGCACTGTGATTATGTGGCAGTGTTCCAGACATGCATTTTGGCATGTTGTCACCCTCTCTTTTTATCAAGAAAGTCCTAAATTACTGCATTCTGAGATTAAAAAGTGGGATTTTACATCGGACACCACCTATAACATTTACAGTGTTTACACTCAGATCTGCAGAAGGTATTGCAAAATTGCTGTACTGTGCACTATGGACTTTTAAATACTAGAATAAGTGCATTTTTGAAATTGCTAGATTCTTTCTTTCAGCATCCATAGCATGCAATCATTGGCTTTAACAGACATGCAGGCAGGGGAGGCAGTCACCTTCATTTTCTTTGAGGCTTGCTGTATTTTGAATGATTACTACTTACATATCAACAATTGCAGGCAGCTTCCATAGAAAATGATGTGACTTCTGAGTGGATGATGCTGTGCTCAGGATTTTTCTCAGTATGAAATGATCTAATCAACGAACTGAGCCTACAAGCACCCCTCCCCCTCACTTCCAGACTACAGGAGAGTAGAACGAGTTTTTAAGTTCCTCACATGCTACGATACATAAGCAAGTATCTTCATGGCAGGCTTTGGTGGGGTAAAAGAAAAAAAAAAGGAAAGGCATTGAAATGGTTTATGGCAATTGATTCTGAAATCAGTTCTTTTGGCTGCAGTGGAACCATTCGAGTGTGGGAACTGGACCTGCCCAACAGGAAAATCCGACCAACTGAGTGTCACACAGGGCAGCTGAAAAGAATAGTTACATGTATTATGGTAAGAGACTCGCTTATATGAAAATTACAGTCTAAAAGGAAGTGGCACTCAAACCAGGAAGGAAGTTCTTTAGCTGTACTGAAGGGTTGGAAAGGGCTTTCTTAAGGAAAAGAGTAATGGATTTCCAAGGTCTTCTACTCACCTTCCTGTCAGGAGCAATCAGAATGCATAAACCTCCTATCACTGGCCTCAGCTTGTATAGGGATTAAAGTGAGGCAGATTTATTTATTTATTTATCGTGAGGCAGATAACCATTCTGTAAAAAAGCTCAAAACTGAGAGACAGTAAAATAAGAGGATTGAAATGTACCATCTAGTCATCCCAGGGATATTCCAAGTCATCCCCAGAGCAGTAAAAGCAACACCTTTGGTCAAAGCTGAGTCCAGAAGGCTCAACCTGAGTGTGGGAAATGTACCTGCTCATTAATTGTGATCTTCATTAGAGTTCCTTTTCTAGGTCTCTCTGCTATTAGAAACAATGCTGGTAGACAATCTTCAGAGCACCTTTTTTTGTTTGTTGCAACTAATGTTTTGGTCATTCTTCCCCAGGAGGGTTTGCTTTACGATTACTGCTGTGTGGGCATTTATTTTTCACGTCTTTTCAAAACTGAAGAAACATCTTATTATATTTTATTCTTTTATTATAACTGTATCTTTATGTTGTGCTTCATTTTCACTGAATAATGTTTTTATTTGTGAAATTATTATTTTTTTGTGGGGGATAATTTTTATTGTAATTTTCAAATGTGCAAGTTTACATAAAATAGGGATAGAACAACTGAACAAAATTATAAGGGAAAGATAGGGAAAGAGGGGAAAGGAGTGGTTAGGGAGTGATAGGAGGGGAAGGGCAGAACTAAAAAGCTTTTAATGTGGTAGGGAAAGTAACGGGTAAGGGTAGGGTAATGGGTTGGGAAAGGGAATTTGTACTTAATTATTCTTAGTGTGTTTTTGGATTGATGTTCAGTAACATATTTTCATAAGTTACAGTTGCAAATGCATTAATTTATTTATTTTATTTATTTAGAAGTTTTATATACCGGTCTTCTCACCTCCGAGGAGGGACTCAGGCCGGTTCACAGCATGTGTTCATATACAATAATATACAAAACAGCACAATGCATCATCATTATACATTAAAATTATAAGTACAATAAAAGCATCATCATCACATTACACAAGCCAAGTAAGTAAATAAACACACTGAACAGCATCAATAGCAGGAACATGACTTGAATAGATAAACACTAAGTTTTCTATGAGTTCTATTCTTTTTATAAGATGTCTTTATCTCAATACACTATTTAACAAAATTTGAAAATTTTTCTGTTCCTGGTTTGAAAGTGTTATTTCCTGCTTAATTGTGTTGTACTTACTTTGAAAGTAGTTTTTATACTCCAGAAACTTTGTTTTTTGGCAACCACAAACTATGCTGAATTGGTTGAGGTCCCATGAGATATTTATTGAAAAACTACAGCAAAATGTGCTGCAGGATGTTGCGCTAAAACAAAGTTTTTGCAGTTTAATAAAAATTTTTCCATGTTTTTATGATAGAACCAATTAGAAAATTACATTTATAACCCAGGAACAAAAATCATGTTACACAGTGTTGTCCAAAAGAGAAAGTGGCCAGAAATATGTGATATGCTAGATCAATGTTTTTTCCATTACAGTGAGGGTGTGGCATATGCTTTTAATCTTTCTCCTCCTTCTCCAGATCACTGATGATGACCAGTATTTCTGTATTGGCACATCTACTGGTGATATCGTGAAACTCAATACAAAAAGCACATTGATGAGTGATTATGGCCCAGTGAAGGATAAATTCAGCTTGGTAAGTGGCTATTCTATTCTACATCTCATTAGTAGACACTCAAGTAGTTGTAGTGCCTGCAATTACACTAGCATCCCAACTAAAAATCAGTAGGCATAAAATTACTTAGAACCTGATAAAGAACCATATTATTCTGCGACTCTTCTGACTTTAGCTTGGCTGTGTTCTTTACACATCCTCTTGGCTGGGCCCAGACTGAGCCAGCATCTCACATGCCCACCTGATTAGCTGCAGTAGGGAATCTGGACTTTTACAATAAGAAAATCCAATGAAAATAGCTGAAAAAAGAAAACATTTGCTAGGCTAAGAGGTCTGCTGATCTGACACTTATAGCTGATAAATCTGATGTCCTAACAACTTCCTTTTCTCTAAGTTGCCCAGCCTGTTACCTTTTCTTCTTTATAAACTCTTCCACATCTTAGTGCATTTAAAATATAAAGGTTTTCTCCTGACATTAAGTCTAGTTGTATCCAACTCTGGGTGGTGGTGTCATCTTCATTTCTAAGCTGAAGAACAGGCGTTGTCCGTAGACAACTCCAAGGTCATGTGACCAGCGTGACTGCATAGAGCACCAGTACCTTCTCACAGAAGCAGTGCCTATTGACCTACTCACATTTGCATGTTTCTGAACTGCTAGGTTGGTAGAAGCTGGGGCTCACAGTGAGAGCTCACCCCACTCCCCACCAACTTTTCCCTATTTTAGCCAGCCTTTGGACACTTCTGGATGTTGGAATATTTAGGATTTTGGAATTCCAGATAAGAGACGCTCAGTTTGTGCCAATAAATATATAAACACAAGAGGTGGTTTGCACTAGGCTAATCCCTTTAGCCACTGAGTTCAGTTTTGCCAGCTCTGGCTGGCAGAAGCTCTCCAAGGGCCTACTCCTGGCAATTTAACTGGATAGGACATCATACAGAACACGGGTTCTGCTGCTACGCATGAAGACTCGAGGCTATTTTTGTACAATATTAGAATAAAGGGATATCCGATAAGAAGGTGTCATGTGTTGACTCCCAACTCTTTTTCAGCATTCATAACAGACTTGAGGTCATTTTCCTTTCTGCCAAGAGGCCTTTCAGCATGCTGAGTTTTTTGGGTTGATTTCTTGGTTAAATTTTTTAGACCAGTGGTTCTCAACTTGTAAATCCCCAGATGTTTTGGCCTTCAACTCGCAGAAATCCTAACAGCTGGTAAACTGGCTGGGATTTCTGGGATTTGTAGGCCAAAACACCTGGGGACCCACAGGTTGGGAACCACTGGTCTAGACTTATATATGAGTATATAAGGTAGATAGAAGAAACTTTCTTGTCTATTAGACATTTTCAAATATTATAGATGTGCTTTATTCATTTTCAGTGATGATAGTCTTTGTTTTTTAAATTTAAAAAAGATACAGAAGCCACTCTCTGTTTGAGTTAAGGACTCTTAATATATCTCCCTTTCCCATTTGGGGCTGTATTTCTGAGAGCCCCTCCCCAGCTGTGAGCCTTGCAAATGGGAAAATAGGCACTTGAATGTTTCTGCTAGTAGAACAACTTGCAGATAGTCTGAATAAAATTCATGTCAGGATGATAGCGCTACAAGAAAGGATTTACACAGACATGTATGTGTGCATAACCTATGCTTTAAATACAGTTCAGTGTAGATGCCTTTATCTTCTCTGGCAGCAACACTATAGGAAATCCATTCACAAAGATTCTGACTGCACATTCACTAAGCTTGTTTTGTATTTAACTAGAAATAATTATCTTCCTGTCTCTGCAAGCTTCATTGAGTCTTGTAACAGCGCTTCAGGTTCATGTAGGCACAGCATACCAGTCTTAGTGGCATGGCACACAAGGGAGTGATATAGCCATCCATGTGTCTGAATTGATTTGATTTTTCTCAGTACAGGAGAAAATGGTTCCCCATTTAAAGGAAGCAGCGGGTTCTTTTTCCGACCGAGCCTTTTAAGAAACTATTGAGCTTTTAATGAAATTTGATCAGTACAAACACTTCTTTTTGTCTATTTTTTCTTGAGCTCTTCTTGTGTATGGTTCAAAATGACGTATAGATTCTGCAAATGCAGGAGAGAAAAAGAAAGCCCAAAAAAGATCTTTGCTTCTGGCTGTAAGTAGTCCACTGTTGGATGAGAGAAGCTTTGAGAATCCACAAGTGGGAAGGGAAGGTTTGTAGGTATAAATATACAGTGCTGTTTTGGATGCTATGGAAATACTGAGATAGAAACAAAATCCCAGACCGTAGTAGAAGAAGAAATAGCCTGTTCTTGGGATTTATCTGGTGTGTATATGTGCTCTCCATTATTCGCACCTGTTTGGGCGTATAGCTATTGGTGCTATTATTGTTGTCATCCTCCTCCTCCTGATACTCATTTATATCCTGTCTTTTCCTCTGGGATGCAAGGCAGTTTTGTTGTTCTTAATTGCCATCAAGTAGCTTGTATGAGAGACCTCCAAGAACTCTGGTTATAAATGTCTTTGTTCAGGTCATGACTTCCTTGATTGATCAATCCACCTGCTATGTAGAGTTCCTCTTTTTCTCCTGCCTTCTCCTTTACCAATTGTATTTTCAGTTAGTTAAATCATAATATCTCCAAAGTATGACAGACTTGGTTTAATTGCCTTCTAATGAGAGCTCTAAGATCCACCCAGCTGTCATTTTAGAAGCCTGTAGTATCTTTTTCCTAGGAGAATGCTTTCCTAGCACCACCACTGCTGTGAGTCAATTCTTTTCCTATCCACTTTCTTCACTATCCAACAATTATACATAGAAATTGGAAATACTGTGGGCTTTGATGACATACCCTTCACTAGCGGATCTTATCTAATTCATTTATCGCTATCCTTCCAAGACTTAGTTCTTCTAATTTCTACAGTGTCTATTTAGTTTATGTCTAAGGTATACAAATCTTTCAATAATTTCTACATCTTTCATTGCCCACTTTACAGTTATGTTGATCATCTCAAATTATTCAAACCAGTAGAGATAAAGCCACTTCTTCTGGATAAAATTTAATCCAGAGCTTTACAAGATTTCAGGATTCTTTAATTGTCTATGCCATGTCCATTTGCCTTAAAAGTATAATCTAGTAGTAGAGCGTTTATAAGAAACTAGAAGTGCTGGAATCTATACCAACAGAAGAACGAAAGGATGCTTTGAGTTTAGTGCTGCATTTTCTTGAGCTCTTTGATGCAGAGCCTTTTATATTCAATGGAGTGATTGTTTTTTCTCTCTCTCGTCTCTGGGTTTTTAACATCAGTTAAAAGGCATACATATGAAAAACAATAAATTCATAATTTAAAATATAATCTGGATAAGCCTGCCAGGAGAAATTGGTCTTTAAAGCTGTTTTAAATTCAGACAATTTAGATTGGAAAAGTAGTAGGCAGGAATGGGTAAAGAATGCATACACTCTCTGGAAGCAAGTATTAATGTTGTTGTGATATTACAATTTAACCCTAATGCAATATTGATATGCTTGGATGTGAAAAGATTTTAAAAAGAAACTGAATGTATAAGGCAAAACCATAATAATCTGATGCTATGAGAGGAAATCATATAGATCAAAGAGAGGAAACTATGGCAGATCCAGGCATACAGACTGGGTCTTGTGGACTGCCAAACAACTATTTTTACACATTGTAACATTTTAAAAAACCTGTTCCTGGTTTGAACCTGTTATTTATTGTTTAATTGTGCAGTACTTATTTTGAAAGTGGTTGTTATACTCCAGAGACTTGGTTTTCGTGGCAGCCACAAACTATACTGAATCGATTAAGATTCTGTAAGATATTCATTGAAAAACAATAGCAAAATGTGCTACAGGATGTCCCCTCAAAAATGAAGTTTTTGCAGTTTAATAAAATTTTCGTATGTTTTTATGATATAATCAATTAGGAAATGACATTAATAACCTAGGAACATAAGTTGTGTTACATAGTGTTTTCGATCCATTCATTCAGTCATTTGTATCACATATTTTTTCAGAAGTGGAACTCATAGTGGATTACAAAAATTAAAACCAATGCCAACAAAAGCACAATATTGGTAAAAATGTAGCAAAAAGTCATTATTAAAATGCTGTTAAGCTCTCTACGGGATTAAAGCAATTCAAAAGAAATCAGTTTAGATACAGAACATAAAAGTCAGCAAATCAGCCCAGTATCAAAAACTATTTCCATCAGTTCCTGTAGAAATAAAAAAGAGTTCACTTAGTGATGGATGAACAGCAGAGAGGCAGCCATCCTACTTTCCCCAGGAAGAGAGTCTCAAAGCTTAGTAGCAGTCATGGAAAGGCTATCTTCTATGTTCCCCCGTGAGATCAAAAATACCCCAATCCCCATTCCTTCTCCTCCAAGCACACACATATATACATGGAAGTACTGGAAGTTGGTGGGGTGAAGGGCAAAGCAGTTAATGATAGACAGAGCCACAGGGTCACTTTTGATCAGGCATGGATTTCTGCCTCCCTGCAACTAAAAATGGCTAATTGCTTTCCCAGAAGCCTCTAGGTGCTATATATGCCCATGTAAATTCTGCTTCCCTATTAGCATTTGTTTTGGGCCCAAAGTAGTTATATATATATAAAAATAACAAAAAAAGCCCAGAACTGACCCACCCTATCTAGTTAGATGTAAAACCTCTTGCAGAAGGACTTCAGCCATATAAAAGCATCACTTGTCTTGATTCGTTTTTGCAACCAGGCAAAGCTCAGCCTTGTAAACATGTTCGGAGAAAAATGAAGAGGTGAGGGCATGGGAGGAATACACAACTGCACAAAGTAGTTTTCTTCAATCCAGATATCTCTGCTGCATTGCAGAAAACGTTGCACGGAAAAGGCAAGCTGAAGCAACAGAAAGATCATCAGGATTGCATAGTAAAAGGTCGAGCATGTAGGGAGGGATCAATACAACTAGACAAAAACAAACCAAAAAACCTCAATGTTTTTAATCTACATTCCTCTCCTGTGGTGTAGCAACAGCAAGGACAAGCAAGAAGG